ACTTAGAGTGAGGGGCGACTTGATAGAGGTGTATAAATGGAAGTCAGGGTTAAACAAAGGGGACATTACAAAGGTACTCAAACTATCCAACCAGGAGCGAACTCGCAACAACGGTTTTAAATTAGACAAATTTAGATTTCGGCTTGAAATAGGTAAACACTGGTTTGGGAACAGAGTAGTGGATGAACGGAACAAGTTACCAAATATCATCATTAACTGGAATACGCTGTATAGCTTCAAACATAGGTTGGATGCTTATATGAGGAATAGGGGTTGGGTATAAACGGGACTGCCCAGTATGGGCCAATAGGCCAGCTGCAGTTTCCTCCATTCTTATGTTCAACCATTACAGCGGAGGTCCTACAGGGCGGGGGACTCACTGGGCGGAAGACTTGTTACTTTTATTCTCTTCACCACTGATGGGCTCTTTAGCCGCTTGGGCGATCGGTCACGTCTCTGATTACTTTTCCTTTTCTCAATGCCACGTACTGTACAGTGGACCTGTCAATTGTTTTTTACTCGTTTGTGTGTGTGTGTGTGTGTGTGTGTGTGTGTGTGTGTGTGTGTGTGTGTGTAGCGTCTCTGAATCTAAGCCTCAGTGTTAGGCCAACCTTGTATCATTGAGTCCAACACGTTCACAAACTCAGAGATGTTTTACGGGAGAGATACAAGGTGTCTATACTTGTGTATCTTGAAGCTTTATTAACCGTTGATGTACACACCGTAGGGAAAAACTGTAAACAACACATAAAACTTAATAATGTAAAGCAGGAACACAACACATCTAGTCTCCAGGTCTCAACATGGCCGCCATCATTAGTATACACTGTATATCCTTCATCCTGACTCCCCACTGGTATGTAAACATCCTCCAGTTGCTGTTGATAAGCGGCTTTGTGAATTACATTAGTGATCTCGGCACTAATTTTACCCTGATCTCGTCCACCATTGCACAGGTCTGGTGACCCAGGAGGATAGCGATTGGTCCACCTCCAGCGATCCATTTATCAGGGGCTTTAAATAACTACCGTATGTGAATCATATTTTCGTTTGCCGTTTAGAGTTTGTTAATGCCATGTGCTTCACACCAAAGATGATTAATATAATGTTACTCTAGGAATTTGGTGTGTGTGTGTGCACACACGTGCGTGTGTTACGGTTGCCTCCTGTGTATCAGGCTGGCCGGCACGAAGGCCACCCGGGCATAAATTGGTTTAAGGTGTAGAGGTTGTCGCCATCACAACAACCACTCCCAGAGTTAACTAGCTGTAATAGCCTAGGAACATTGGACAACTCGCCAACAGCGTTTACAACTGCACTGGCTAACCTTTATCCGATTAACATCGAGGTTCCCGAATACTATTGGAAAGATTGGAGCAAATGACAAAGAAACTTGACCATAGTTTCACCCAGCCCAGGTGAGCAGATGACCATTACACCACGGCTCCCTCACTCATTAAAAGTTGAACATGTTTAAGTTGTCGTGACACGTTTTTAGATTCATAAACACTATAAAGTAACACCTTCCTTACACACACACATCCAACCCCGCACACATCACCCCACGCACACTTCGCTAAGCACCACTTGGGCAATCATTACCGTAACATACCAGTAGGTGAAGACGGTGAGGCGGGCAGCCAATCACCTGCCTCACGACATTAACAAGTGACTGCGGCCATCACTACGTCACTGGGGGTAAGGACCAATCACCATGTACCGCCCTGCATAGATACTTGTGTACATGCAAGAAAATAACTCAAGGTTATTTACATCAAGAAGCTAATGTTGTTTATGACCCCAGGTGTAATTTGCATGATTAGCGACCCGAGGCAGGTAATATGACGTAATTGTGACGTAGTACGCGCCGCCATTGTGTCCTCGCCTGCCAGATGGACGATGATTACCCGGAACTCAGAAAATAATTACACTAGATTATATGGAATTGAAGAATTTTTTTCCTGATTTGTTTTTTCTTGGTCGTATTCATCAGGAGATGGGTCAGTCCTAACGTTGGTTGGTTTTACATGATGGTCAGTGGAGGGCAGCAGGTGATTGGTCGAATGTAAACAAAAGAGAACGATGACGGATGGAAAAGTGTATATCATGGACATTGATGGCGTGGGAGGAGAAATCCAGCAGAATTTTTGTGGTGTCGTTGGTGCAAAACTCTACCACTGCAATATGAGAGAGAGTGTATGTTTGTGTATGAGAGAGAGAGAGAGATTTATGAGACATGTGAAGTCATGTCATATCCTCATGGCTGTCGTCTTTCGTTACACCATTATCTTTGTAAGTGATGATCTTTATTGCCGTAATAAATAGTTTTAACTGAAATTAAGGCGGCAGAAGACCTCTAAAACAACAACAAAAATTATTTGATGTTGAAATTAATTGTGTACTGTTTACATATCTCGGGACGGTGTTAGCTGGCGTGACGCGCTGATCCCTGTCACGAATGTAGGGGAACTGTGGTGGTGGTAAGAGAAGTAGTAGGGGTAGTAGTGAGTGGTAGAAGTAGTAGTAGGGGTAGTAGTGAGTGGTAGTAGTAGTAGTAGTAGTGGTAGGAGGCCCCCCCAAGGAGGTGCGTGTGGCTGAGGTTTGTGGCGTGTAGTGGTAGTTTCCTCCTTCCCTTATATAGCTACACTTCACACACACACACACATCCCGCCTCTCACCTGACCACATGCTGACACACAGTTAAGGTTTAATTACTTTATAATATCAGTGCTGCAAACTCCCTCTCTCCCTTCATCACAACCACACCCCTCATCACCACACCTCACCACCACCACCACACCCCTCATCACCACACTCCTCACCACCACACCACCACCACACCACCACACCCCACCACCACACCCCACCACCCCACCAACCACCACCAACCACCACACCCCACACACCCCCACCACCACACCACACCCCACCACCACACCCCCCACCACCACCACCACCACCACACCCCCATCACCACACCCCACCACCACCACCACCTCCACCACACACCCCACCACACCCCACCACCACCACCACACCCCTCATCACCACACATCATCACCACCACACCCCTCACCACCACCACCACACCCCTCATCACCACCCCTCATCACCACACCTCACCACCACCACCACCACACCCTCACCACCCATCCTCATCACCACACCCTCATCACCACACCACCACCACCACCACACACCCCTCACCACCACACCCACACTTCATCACCACACCATCACCACACCCCTCACCACCACCACCACACCCCTCATCACCTTCACCTGCCTGCAATACTTATTTACCTATGCTATATTGCCTGTGTGTGTTCTGAACTTAAACGTGTGATTGAATTTTCAGTAAATATGAGATAAGATAAGAGGTATTTCCCGCCGCCATACTGGAGTGATGATGATGATGATGATGATGATGATGATGGTGATGATGATGATGATGATGATGTTAATGATGATGTTAATGATGATCTTAATGATGATGATGGTGTCTGTTTATGGCTGGTAACGTTTTCTCCCCACTTGAGGGCTAACTTTAGTATACTTTATGTTGTATGCTTGTTACTAACGCTTATACAGCCAACAGTATAGGCCTAGTTTTGTCATTTTCTTTATCATCATCATCATCATCATTATTATCATTATCATTATTTAGTACCTCCAGACCTTTTAATTTTAACAGTTCATCAATTACGTACAGTAGTTTTTTCGTGTCTCGTGGGATCCAGTTGGGGGTCTCCATGGTGGCCTAGCACAAAGGGTGTGCAGTACTTGACAAGTTTTATTATCCAGTGTAAGACCTGAGAGTACACTTTGTTGCTGACGTCACAACCTTCGACCACCTTCAAGGCCACGCGGGTCATGTTGGAGGGAGGGGGGTAGAAAGATGTAAGGGTGGGTAGTAAATTAGGCGCCATCAACATTCATAACCTATTACCTACTGTACTTGTCACATGACCCTTCTCTCCTTCCCCTCTCCCCCTCTTCCTTTCCTCCTCCCCCCTTCCCCCTTTCCTGGCGTTACCTTAAATAAACTATTGTGGGCGTGGTCGATGGTGTGACAAGGTGAGCATATGGTGGTTCTCTTGCCTACCTGTGTCTCCACCACTCACAGGTATGGTGAAGCGGAACTACTTAAGCCAGAGTAATATTGGAGGTGCGAAGAGTGGTGAAAGAAATGGAATTAAAGATGATGGGAGGGTCATAGGTGAAGGTATAAATGGAGTAGATAGTGAAGAAGGTTAGAGGAAGGTCACAGGTGAGGTGTATTGAGTGGAGGTGAAGAAGTCGTGGGTATTATAATGGGCAGATAATCACAGGTATACAAAGGTGACTACTACCATCATTAACCTGTACAAAGACTACAGGTAATTAGAATAATCAGATTTAGGATTATAGGTTAAGTTTGCTTCCATGTTTCTAAATTCTGGCTGGAGGTCTCCGCAGAGTTCCTGGGATGATTCTTATTCTTATTATTTTTTTTTGTACTGTGTTTATGTTGAGGTTATCCGAAGAACAATTTTAGGTTCGTTGTTCATCAAGCCTTTAAAGGGTTCTATTTATTTTTTCAGTCTAAACAGCAGTTATATGTATTATTATAATAATAATAATTATTGTTATTATTATTATTATTATTATTATTATTATTATTATTATTGTTGTTGTTGTTGATGGATTCTCAAACTATTTCTCTATATGTGTTTGTATTTTTTATTTGTTTACCATGATTTGAAAACAAAAAGAAAACATTTCAGATTGAATAGTTTGTTAAGTGAGTTCTAGGAGTGTACCTGACCCAGCTACACTCCTAGAGCTCTTATTTCCTCTGTTTATATGATATTCTCTAAGACATAACTTGTAAAAGAGTTAGGTGTTAGCCCAGGGACGCTTCTAGAGCTTAATGCATTTTGATTTATTTACTTACTTTTTCATGTTATATTCTCTAAATCATGACCTGTATATAATGTATGTGTGTGTTTACCCCCCAGGGACGGGTTCCTCAGCCAGAATGAGTTCTCGGCCTTGTGTCGTGCGCTGTTCAGGAACGAGCGTGGCAAACCTTACCCCGTCGAGTCTTGCATGTTGAAAACTATCTTCACCATCTTTGACACTAACAAGGTAAGCCTCCATAATCATCACCTTTGACAGTAACATCATCACCTTTGACACTAACAAGAGGAGTCACTATCATCATCACCATCATCATTGCCATCATCATCATCACCATCATCATTGCCATCATCATCATCATCACCATCATCATTGCCATCATCATCATCATCATCACCATTCTCATCATTATTAGTCCTTTTTTCGATTTTTAAAAATTGAAATTTTTTCAGAGAACAATATCTATAAAAAAGAGTTGTTTTATTTTGTAGATCTGTTCCTGGCAATCTGTATGTAAATTAGTACATATATGTGTGTGTATGAGTATATGTGCATGTGTCAGTGAGAGAGAGAGAGAGTTATAAGGTAGTCAAGTCTCGTGTGGTAGGTTAGTGTCACCGTTCGTTAGGGGGAGACCACCAGCCAGCGACACCTCCCTCCTAAACACATCAACCCTTCATCATCATTACCCGGGATGTATTAGTCTTAATTATTCCTTAGAATGTTAGATTATAATGATAATTAGCCTTGATTACATCCTGCTTGCTCCCTGATGGTCGGGGAATTGATTTTTCAGTCTAGGATATAGGAGAAGGATAACTTGTCCCAGTCTCTTGTCAGTTAGGAAAAACAAGACTCGCGCTTTTTGTTATTCATTCGTTTTTTAATTCTTATTCTCTTATGATTTTGCTTTGTTTTGTTTTATGTCCATATTTTTGTTTTTATTTAATATATTTTGGTTGTCTAAGGACTCGAATTTAGTATTAATAGTGAATGTAATATATCTACGTGTTATTTAGGCACTACTCTCGCCCCCTATCTACCATCTACCCCACACAATAAGAATACGAGAAGAGCATAGATAATAAAGTAGATTAATGCGAGTAGATTACACTTTGATCCCTATTGTTCTTTGTTATCTTCATCGTTTTTATTCACTAATTCTCTTATGGTATGTTTTGATACGTGTGTGTGTGTGTGTGTGTGTGTGTGTGTGTGTGTGTAGGTTTGTTATTTTCATATTTATATATATTATGTGAAGTACTAAGAGTGTTCCGTGTTGTGTTTCAGGACCACGTGATTGACAAGGAGGAGTTTCGATTCTGTTGGCAGAAATGGATAAAACAGGTGAGCAACTTTCATCAACAGACAGAGAGAGAGAGAGAGAGAGAGAGAGAGAGAGAGAGAGAGAGAGAGAGAGAGAGAGAGACGTGTCCTTGATTAGTCTCGAGGTAAATAAAATAAACATTTTGGTCCCACAGCCAGAAAAACAAAAACACATCATCTTCATACACGGCTACTCCACACCACCGCGCCACATTACTCTTACACCATACCACTACAACACCACAACGCCACCATAACGAGCCAGACCACGCCACTATACCACAACAAATAAATACTCCGTCATATTGCTAACCAAATACTGTATTACTGTATGTGGTAATCCATTAAAAATAAGGTCTTGTGTATAGAAACGTGATCGGTGTTATGTATTGATAAAACAGAGTCATAATCAGCGTGTTAAAGTACGTAATATAATGAACTCCGTGAGTTGATTAATGGATGTGTTTCTTAATTAGTTCGCGTGTGATGGGGGAGCGATGTTATTAGTCCCCTCCCCATCCTCCCCTTGTGCCTGCCCTCCCCATCCTCCCCATGTGCCTGCCCTCCCCATCCTCCCCATGTGCCTGCCTTCCCCATCCTCCCCATGTGCCTGCCCTCCCCATCCTCCCCTTGTGCGTGCCCTCCCATCCTCCCCTTGTGCCTGCCCCTCCCCCTCCTCCCCTTGTGCGTGCCCTCCCATCCTCCCCATGTGCCTGCCCTCCCCATCCTCCTCTTGTGCCTGCCCTCCCCATCCTCCCCATGTGCCTGCCTTCCCCATCCTCCTCTTGTGCCTGCCCTCCCCATCCTCCCCTTGTGCGTGCCCTCCCCATCCTCCCCTTGTGCCTGCCCTCCCCATCCTCCCCTTGTGCCTGCCCTCCCCCATCCTCCCCTTGTGCCTGCCCTCCCCATCCTCACCTTGTGCCTGCCCTCCCCATCCTCCCCATGTGTCCCATCACCCCCCTCCCCCTCTTATCCGCATCTTTATCTTCACACACCACGTCTCCCTCCTTCCCTCTCTTCCTTCTCATCTATTCCCTTCCTTTTCCGACATGGAGGGGAGAGAGGGAAGGAGGGGGGAGTGGTTAGAAGAAGAGAGGGAAGGCGAGGGAGTGCAGGAAGGAAGGTAAGGGCAGGATAGCGGAAAGGAGACGAAGGGCAGGAAGGAGGAAGGGAGAGGGAGGGTAGGAAGGCGGGGAGGGGGGAGGTGGATGAGGGCCCATAATAACATACCATCAGCCACTAATTAACGTAACTACTTCCGCCTACCTCCTCCCCTACCTGCCCCACACTTACCTCAGCTCCTTCCCTACCTGCCCCACACTTACCTCAGCTCCTTCCCTACCTGCCCCACACTCCTACCTCAGCTCCTTCCCTACCTGCCCCACACTTACTCCCAGCTCCTTCCCCAACCTGCCACACACTCCCACCTCTCTGCTCCTTCCCTACCTGCCCCACACTTCTACCTCAGCTCCTTCCCTACCTGCCCCATTACACACTTACCTCAGCTCCCTTCCCGCCTGCCCCACACTTACCTCAGCTCCTTCCCAACCTGCCACACACTTACCCCTCAGCCCTTCCCCTACCTGCCCCACACCTCTACCTCAGCTACTTCCCTACCTGCCCCACACTTACCTCAGCTCCTTCCCCTACCCGCCCCACACCCCACTTCAGCTACTTCCCTACCTGCCCCACACTTACCTCAGCTCCTTCCCTACCTGCCCCACACTTACCTCAGCTACTTCCCTACCTGCCCCACACTTACCTCAGCTACTTCCCTACCTGCCCCACACTTACCTCAGCTACTTCCCTACCTGCCCCACACTTACCCCAGCTCCTTCCCTTACTGCCCCACACTTACCTCAGCTCCTTCCCTACCTGTCACACACCTCAGCTCCTTCCCTACCTGCCCCACACTTACCTCAGCTCCGCTCTAGATAGGGTATTTGGATGTACCAGATCAAATCAGGTTTAGGCTGGTTAAGTTAGGTTAAGTCAATCCAGGTTTGGTTAGATTGGGTTAAGTTAAAAAAAATTATTATATTGAACACCGACTTTTACCTTGGCAATACAGTACACAGGAAATTATATACTGTAATATGACTTTTATTTCTTCTGAACTCCTACCCAAGAACTGTCAGTGGTGACCCCGCTGACACACAGGGATACAATACAGTATACTGTATATGCAATAATACAGGTATAAACCCTTAATTACACCTGAATAATCCTTGCAACATGGAGTCAATTACGCAATTGCACACCTACCCGCTAAACAAAAAATAATTTAATGAATAAAATTAGGCATATCTTTCTTGCTATATTTAGACTACACTACTGTATGTTGTGTAATTTAAGCTTTTGATACCTGAGATAACAACGGCCATTTATGTATTTTGTGAGTATACTGTACACACACGTACTGTACATTTAGTTGGGCTGTTTTAGAAAATCAATCACTTTTACCGTATAAGAAGAGCGCAACTGAGAAGGTTAATAGATTTTTTGTTTTTTGTAAGTCAAGTGTCTGTAGTGCGTGTGATGGTCTACTTACTTAATAACTGTACAATACTGTACTTATCTTTGTCATTTCATTGGTTAGCTGTTAAACCAGTTGGGTGGTCGGCCATTTCTGTTACACACTGTAGGCAAGTACTTGACATGCACGGGCTCTAGAATGTACTTGAACAAGTGCCAGTGTGGTCAAGTCAAGTCTCATACTAATTGCCATCACAAGTTTTACAACATTCTCTGGCATGTCATTCCAAGAGTTCACAACTCTTATTCCAAAGAAGTTAGCTATGACAAGTTTCTGTACTTGTGTAACATGTATAGTGTGAGAGTTACAGGTGATAGTTTTACACTGACAGTTGTGTACATGTTGCAGGTCCACAGTGTATTGTAACATGCCTGTAATGGGTACAGAGTTACAGTTTACGTGTTACAGGTGTATAGTATAACAGTTGTGGTCCTTGTTACAGGTAGTAAGACCCGTGACAGCGCTGTTGGTGGTGGACGTACAGAATGACTTCATCTCAGGCTCCCTGGCCATCAGTAACTGTCCAGCCGGCCATAATGGGGAGGAGGTAAGGCTTATTTGCTGTACCTTAATCCTAGATAAGAAATGGGTAAATACAGGTACAGGGTGTTCAGTAAACAGCACTACATTAATAATTATACATTACACTATTGTGATTCAAACACAACTGAATTAGTATACGGGCATTGTATGCTGTTGAATAACTACAGGTTGACAATCCCTTATCCGAAATCCTTGGGGCCAGAAGCATTTCGGTTTTTGGAATTTTTCGGTTTTCAGAATGGTTAGGTTTTTATATATATATATATAATGTGTATTAGCCCACCCGGGCATAGATCACTGACCCACATTGGGGCCTGGGGGTAGAAAATATAATAAAAAATATAATAATAATAATAATAATAATAATAATAATAATAATTTATAGGTCTAGGTCATGTTTCTCACTTTTGATCTTTTTTTCATTCTTGTATTTCTTACTGTATTATTATTATTTTATTATTACAGTATTATTGTTATTATTATTATTATTATTATATTTTATTATTATTATTATTATATTTTATTATTATTATTATTATTATTTTGGTGTATTTTTATTAAAAATTTTATTTACTATGAATAATTATTATTATTATAATTATTACTATTACATTTTCGCCCCCCCCCCCAGGCCCCGATGCGGGTCAGTGAACTGTGCCTGGGATGGCTAATAATCCTTGTTTTAAAAAAAAAACTTTCAGTTTTTAGAGCTTTACGGTTTTTGGAATTTCGGATAAAGGGTTGTCAACCTGTATTGCCACATAACTAAGATGCTGTTCTTAGGTTGTACTGTACTGTACTGTACTGTGCTAATACATTGGCTAGCAGGGGTTCTCAAACTTTTTTCAACCAAGGACCCCTTACATACCATGACGCATACAAATATTGTCAATAATCAAAGAATAAATCATAGTCCAAAGCATTTGTTCATTTCAACCCAAATTCAAAATATCCTGCGAATTGGAATCGACAAATCTCTCACAAACGTTAAACTCACTATTTCTCAAAAACTTTTCGCGGACCCCAGTTGAGAATCACTGGGCTAAGGCACCATTTTCATGCTTATAAATAGATAAGTAAGGAATTAATGCACTCATACTCTTGTTACAGGTGATCCCGCCCATCAACCGCCTGCTGCAGGAGAACAGGTTCGACATGGTGGTATACTCCCTGGACTGGCACCCGGAAAACCACGTCTCCTTCATTGACAACGTCCATGAACGACTTCTACATGACACCTGCAAAGTGAGTCCCTACTCTGTCTCTCTCTCTCTCTCTCTTATCTCTCCCTCATCTGTAATCCTCCTCTTTTGTTGTCTCTTTTTCCTTTTCCCTTTTATACCTTTTGATTAAACACCTAACATCATTCGGAGTGTTATGTTAGGTTAGTATGAGGGTGTTTAATCATTAGGTAAATTAAATTGGGGTGCCTAAACTTCATGTGATCTGAAATATTAGGCGTTTTTATATCGTAAAAAGTAATTACAATTAACCTCAGAATATCTCCTAATCTGGGGGGAGGAGGGCGTAAGCCCCCCAACGGACCAAAACCCAGCTGGGTGGGCTCTGTGCCTGCGATGTTCCCCCACCCACAACTTCGTGGACACCCCCTCCCCCCCCTTATTGATATTCTTGGATCCGCCCCTGAAATTTCAAGTGATGGACACAATTAGGAAAATTCAAGTCTCCTGACGCCTTCATTTTTGGCTGTATACTTACCTCAGATTTTTGTCCAAGTGCTGTGTAATGCAGCCAATGATCAATTCTTGGTTAGATAGATAGATACTGTACATATTTAGTAAAATCATCATTGAAAGTTTACATTGGTAATTCCTAATTTTTTGTGCTCCTGCAATTTACCTTTACCTTATGTACTTATGGCCACGCAAACTTGAGATGGCCATGCCAAGGCGAGATGGCTAGGGTTCTATTCCTTCATTGTTCTTGATAGTCTTGTCAGAGACTATTTTGAAGACTAGCACTCTTCATAATTCCACAGCTTGACTTGGTAGACTGTTCAATAGGTCTGTCAACCTCATTTTATACTTTTACTTTTATCCTCTTCACCACTGATCGGCGTGTTAACCGCTTGGGGGGTTGGTTATAGTTACGTTTCTGTTATATATTGTTGGCACATACTGGGCATGTAACATAAAATTGTGTTCACTCCCTCCAGTGCCCTCCGGTTCATATCTCTAACCCTAACAATGTTTACTGTTAGAAAATTTGGGCACAGTCTGTTGAAAATCCTGCCAGTGTGATTCAGCCTCAATTGCTTCACTGTATCCGCCACACTTAACATGTCCGGTGATTGTAGGACTTCATGATCAATGTGGTCTCTTTCATTCATGTCAAGAATGAATCTCACCATCTTGTTTCGAAAAATATGTTGTTTGGGTATTAGATTCTGAGTTAAGGTAAATTACCATGATGAACAGGCTCCAGCTGAGGGGCTATTTAGCATTTCTATAAAGGAATTTTATCCTGGCATTACTTTTATTTACTGTATTTTCTTACATGCTGTACTGTAAACAGTAACTGAATTTATTGCAAGGTGTTTGTATTTAATTGTATTTTTTGTAAATTTCTCTGCTCGTAATCACATTTACTGGACAGTGTTGCATAGTTACAGTGCCATGGTCCCCTTTGCAGATCGCTAGTGACGACGCCGAAGTGTATGACACAGTCATCTTCGATGTACACGAGGATGGGAAACCCATGGAGCAGAAGTTGTGGCCCCGGCACTGTGTCCAGAACACCTGGGGCGCCGAGCTACACCAGGACCTTAAGGTGAGACTTGACTGTATTTAATAAAAAAAAAAAAATCTCTCTTTTTGCTTTGCTGTATATTCTCTTTGCCATTGATTAGCCTGTTAGATGCTTGGGTGGGTGGTTACATCTCTGTTATGCATTGTTGACAAGTATTGGGCATGCCATAGACTGGCTCCAGATTAGTAGTGCCCAGACTAATAGCCAGACAGGAATTTGTCAGCTGCTTCATGACCCCACCTCCCGAGTGAAGTTTGTCAACCAGCGAGGTAATGGGAGTGTGTGTGTGTGAAATAATAATAATAATAATAATAATAATTTAACTGTTCATTGAAAGAGCATGACAGCCAAACGGCTGAAAATATTCCTTTGCATAATTGGGTAATGGATCACTTGATTGACAAATAATATCCAAGTAACATATCCGGTAAATTATACAAATTGACGGGTACAGGATTCGGGGAAGTGTCCTCGCATGGATCGGAGACTTTCTCTGTGATCGCAAGTAATGTGTGGTGATTATAGTAATGGCATGAAATCGTCATGTGTACCTGTGATAAGTGGGGTACCACAGGGCAGTTTATTGGGCCCGCTGTTGTTTGTGGAGGGGGGGGCAATTGCATCTTAAAAGTCCTAAAATTTAGTTTTGATAGCTATTTATTCTTCATTAATACTATTGATACTATACAACATTCATAATTATAGTTATTCATTTTGCTTTACAGATTGCCGAAGATGCCGTCCAAGTATACAAAGGGACAGATCCAGACACTGACTCCTACAGTGCTTTCTGGGATAACAACAAGAAAGCACACACCTCCCTGAATGAGGAGCTGCAGAAGAAAAATGTCACAGATTTGTTCATCTGTGGCATTGCTTACGATGTATGCGTTGGTATGTTCCCATCTCTCCGGGCTTAACATTACCCCGAGCCCTCATTTCCCATATACGTACTGGTGCAAATACAGACTGTGTGTGTAAGAGAGAGAGCGAGAGATCATAAAAAGACAAAATTGCATTATGTACAGTACCACCTGTCTTTCCCTCTTCTTATGATTGCTCTACCTCTGTTTTACATGTACTGTACCAAAACTCGTAAAGTACCTATACCTCTGTACTACCTTAGCTATAATTAACCAGTTTCTCATTGCTTGACAGCGGCAACAACAAGACACGCCATTGAAGAAGGTTACCGGACGATATTAGTGGATGATGCGTCCAGAGGGGTGTGTGAGAAGGACATCCAGGATACCAAAGATCACACCATAGCTAACTATGGCCTTGTCATTCACTCATCCCAGGTACATATTTCTATTTTCAGTAAATTAAAGGATTCCTGAAATATATAATTGTCAATGTTTCCCATAAAACTCAAAGGGGTATATTATCCTGAAGTGTTTTATGTGTTTGTTTCTCCTTGCCAGGTAAAGAGTTTGGCCACGGGGCGTGACAGACCTCCAGTGCTGGCATACAGACTGGCACTTGAGCTCTCCAAGAAAATGAAGAAGTAAAACACAATAATACAAAAGTGAAGGAAGGAGAAAAGCAAGATTGAAGGACAGAAAAATTAAATACAATATACAAATGAAAAAGAGTCAATAGTTGGTTAAGTGATAAGATAGGAAGTAAAGAAGATACCATTTGTGGGGTGCGTTGTAAATCACAGAGTATCTGTACTAAATAATATATCATTTTGGAAATATGTTAAGTATGTAGAGAATTAAACAGAGATGGAAGAACATAGATTATGCTTGAATTATGATACAGTACTGATAGGTAAATAATGAAGGAAGAATATGAACATGAATGAAAACTACATAGACAGTATAATAATGCTATGCAAAACTAATAATTTAGGACTTTAGTAGAACAGACATAAATATAAGATAGATCAAATGACTTAGAGATTTACAAAACCGGGCCTACTGCATACTAAGTGAAAGGAAGTGTTTAGCCTACCGTGACTCACAGCTTGCTTACTGCATCTTGAGGTCCCCGGCCATCACTCGCCATTCTTCTTGCCTCTGGAATCAACCTGCCACAACATCATATACCATCTTGGGTCAGTGTATAGAGCACAGGTCTCATAAACCAGAGGTCATATGTGAACGTAAACCTCACTGGGGGTACAATGTTGACATTTATTATAAATCTTGTATGTAAGTTAGGTTAGGATCAGGTCATAGATATAAATACAGAAGATGGATGAATTTGTATACTGCTTACTGTACTGTCTCTGGGCTAAGTTGACCTTGTCCTTGTTTTATTGCTGTGGACACATTATATTCACACAGTCCTTACAGATGGTCAGCAAAACAAGATGCTCCCGGGAGTTCACACAATGTTAGCACATAACAGATATTCAAGAAGATGAAAGAACACAGTGCAGTACAGTTCTGTTCTTCATTATATGCTATAGTACAGTATACAGTTCTGTATTATGAAAGTAAAACTCAACAAAAAGTCATAAGAGTTGTGTGAAGAACAAAAAACTCACTTGGATATGAACTACATTCTACTGTTGAAACATTATATCATAGAGAAATTAATTCAGTTAAATTCATTAAAAAAAATCAGAGATATTATTTGAAATTCACACTTAGTCATGCCTATCAAAAATTAAATGATGGGGGTATGCATAATTTCTAGCAAAAAGAGATCAACCATCCAGTGACAACCTGATGCTGCCTACAAAGAAAGCATAAGTAGCAAGTCACTAACATCATAGAAGTGTGCAAACCTGACCAGGTGTAATTCTTCACCACAGATAGTGCTGGCTGTTTGGCCAAGTGGTATAGCATAGATTTCATCTATCCATCTGCCTACCGGTACCTGTCTGAATTATCTAACCTTACCTAACTAGACCTAACCCAATCTAACCTAATTACCTAAACTAACCGAAATTGAGCTAACAAAACCTATCTATCTTCTCTCCAATTATTCTCTATTTTGTCAATCCACTACTTTCTCATCTCATCTTCTTTCCTTGCCTATCACCTCACTCATGTAAAATTCAGTAAGACTAGTATTTCATTGACTCCAGTATTCATCTTCATGTAGACTCATACTACAAAACAAGAACTAAGTCTAGGGCAGTCAACATCAGCAAGAAGGTTGGGGTCAACAGGAGTTATTTCTTTATCATTTGTTGACATTCTAAATGATTTTTAAACTCAATAAATCACAATACTTAGTGTATACTATTATGTACATCAGACTGATGGTAGATATCTGAAATGTGTTCAGGGTTCAAGTCAGTGAAGTGAAGGAGAGGTCCTGAACACCCAGCTGTGACAGTGCTGATGTTGTATTACTGTATTATACAGTGATTGCAACACTCATGAGTAGGAGCTTGAGGTAGAGTTATTCATTCACATACACACTGTACAGTATATGAGGGAGTTAATAAGACTCGGGTAGAAGCTACAGTAGGTAATTTTCATAGAGCAAAAATTTAACTTGCTGAAGGCTAAAGATAGAAGCTAAAATATTCATCATTTCCATATACAAAAGAAGGAACCTTCTTAAATCCTAGGTGAAGTGTAGCTCACATTATTCATTAAGGTTCACTTCAGGGGCAAATCCAGCTTTTCATTTAGGGGGGTTGCAGGGTCATAAAATGAAAAGAATATTGCAGGGAAGCAATGCAAGTAGTGAATTATCATCTACATAATTACAGGTAATTAAAACTGTAAAGATTTTCACACTTTGTACTTTGGAGCTCATTTTGTATAACCCATCTCAAGGAGGTGGTCACCTTCCATTCAATGTTAATCAGTCACTCATTCATCTCCCAGCTTACCCCTCTAAATCCTCCAGTAATGTTAGTGGAATCAGACTTATGCCATTTGCCCTAAATGACTCAAACACCAATTCATGATTTATATCATTCATCATAAAGACATTAAAGACTGGACAGAACATTGCAGCAAGTTATCAATGATAAATATAACAACAAATGCGGTTCATTCCAGCCGCCTTAGCTGTCTGTCCTCGTAAAGAGATGTACAGGGAGTTTACAAGTCCCTTGGTTTTTGTAGTTATAAAGCTCCTTGAGGAAGTTACATTCAAAACTTATACAGTTTGCCCTCCAGTGTTTTCTTCACATAGTTATATTCTTCCCCATGCACTGTACAATAGTGACTCAGATTTGAAGGAGAAAGTGTTAATTTTATAATGGCTGTTTGTGATGTGTTCTTTACAGTTTCTGCTGCAAGTCTGAGGAAAATATCATAGTACTGTACGTGGTAAAGAAAATAACTATGTACAGAAAATGATGGTGTGTGCGCCAGTGCTTCGGTTCTTTAAATTCCTTAATACACAGTAAGCACAAACATCAAGGGACTTGGTATACACTTTGTACTGTACTGTTAATTATCTGTGGTAAAGTTTATAGTCAAGTACTGTATCATAATGTTCTCACTGTTTAACATTGGGACATGTACAGTATTAGTGTCCATGTCCAATATATTATTATTATTTCCCGAGTGTATATTTTATCTTATAACTAACAGTTGTACAGTACATGTGCATGATGAAATTTAAATAATCACTTACCTTTAGTAATTTACTTTCTCTTGATCATTTTTATCATTAAGATCTGTATACTTGTTCCAGCAGTGCAGTTTCCTACTGAGTACTGTGGGTTTGTTGCACTAAATGATAATATGGCAGAATACTGAAAATAAGCAGACTGTGACCAATTTCATATTTTTCTTGCTGTTGTCTCATGAACACTTAAGCAACAAGATGGGTGTGACTAAAATTTAAACCAGTTGATGAAACAATACCGTAGTAGTTGTGTTCAGTGCGTCATGCAAGATACAATCAGACATGAAAGAGTATGTTCAATATCCGTCCCAGTAACTTGTAACTGTGGTGTGATATCAGGGAACAGAGAAGCTCAAATATAAAACATTTTCAGACACAATTCAATCAGCTAGCTTAACCAGAACTGTCTCGGTGTCATATCCTAGAATCAGCCCATTTAAATGGAACTGTATTGTATAATTAATAAATAAATACATACTGTACAACATGCATTGATAACAGAGCAACCATCCCTGACTACTTCACAACTTTTACAAGATTAAAATCATGTTTGACTGTTTCTTGTGCCCTGGTACATGGAACACATTACCTAAAGTTGTCATAAGATGTGTGGTAAACATCATTCTTGTTACCTAATAAAATTTTGTTGCTCCTTGGTTGATGTTTTGGTTGGTCTTCATTTTATTATTGTGGATTGTTAAAAAGGTTGTCAAATTTACTATAATATTCTGGATTTTGTTTGTGTGTGCTTTTGAGATTGTTTTTATGGGTTGTCAATATCTCCTTTAGTGATTTGGTGTACTATGTATTTCCTAATAAAAATATAATTATAAAGGATAAGCCGTGCCTTACATCATGACTCAACAAAGGTGATGAAGTGCTAAGCCCCTCAAGTCTTGAGTCCCTCACCTCAATGATGGCTGAGCTGTCTTCTGTATTTAGCCAAACAGGGTCTAGGAGAGGTGCCCTTACTCTTACTGTATACATCTTATCATAACTAGCAGTGCTGATAATGTGCTGATTCTGTATTGTATTACTTTCATTATGTACAGTCACTCCAAAAGGCATCTTTACAGAGGGGTCCGATGAATTTCAAAATGAACACTGCGGCTCCTGTTGTCTCGGTAGGGTTGTCAAAATCCTTCGTCACGGAAATACATAGACACCTTTTGGAGTGACTGTACCTGCAAGAATTCAGTATCTCTTCTGTATTAAGTACAATATTGTTCTTGAGTGTTATATGTCAAATTATTTTTTAATGTATTTATGGTAAAAAACTCAATGGTACTCTTACATATATATTAAGTTTTTGAAATACATTGATGGTGTGTGTTGTCATCAGTGATGTATTGAACATGTTACTAAAGAACTATCATTCATTCCATTATGTGTTCACCAGATTTTTCCATCAACAAGTTCATTGTCATGGATTTTTTCATGTTATGTGTTCTTAGTCTTGTATATTTATTGGTATATACTGTACAGTACTGTAATGTGAGACCATGATACATAAATTTGTAGTGAGTAATTCCCAGCACAACCGGTCAGTAAGCTGACAGGTGGAGAGCAGGAGGAAGTAACCTGATCACCCATCAAAGGAACTTAAGGTTGTAAATTGTCAGAAGTTCACCTTTAGTGGAACCATAAACAACATGTATTGAAGGCTCATCTTTAGTATCTATAAAATTAATTCTGTTTGAGGAACATTTATTAAGTGGAACCACAAGTTTAAATCTTTTAGAGGTTTCTATATTAAGAGAAACATAATGTTCTTTATACATTACCATGCAGTGCACCATTCCTATGTTATTATAAGATGTAGCTCAACACTGATAAAGTACATATGGCCACTTGTGATTGATGGCACAACACTACAGTGATTATAATAACATAAGCTTCATCTCACTGATGACATTGTTAGGCAACATACTGCCATTGCTTACTGTTAACCTCTTTTATTTTATTTTTTTTTACATTGATAAAGAAAATTAGATTAACCTAAAAAATACAAGATCTTACTTACTTTATATAGAGTTATGGTGTACATAAATGTACATGATATTTAAAAATTTATTGTATATTTTTAAAGCAATAATTTGTTTGCAGTAACTCTCAATATGACACTACAGTACAATATTCAGATTGACTGAGATTGTACCTGAATACGAACTTGACTATATTAAATTAGATTATAAAGCAATTTCAAAGGTCATGCACTGTACATCAGATCATATTGTTGAAGATGTTCTGTACTGTACCCATATTTATAGTACACCTTCCAAGTACTACATGAACCAAGCTAGACATGATGGAGGCATTAAATGCTTCATGCATTTAGACTTTTCTTAGTTTATATTACAGTACAATAATATGCTGTATGTTTAATGATTAAAGATAATGTGTGAAATATCAAAATTATCATTGCACGTGGTACAACAGTGTACCAGGTCAAACTATGTACAAAAATGATAACACAAGAATAACTCACCTGCCAGGTACCAGACCTCGCCATGGTGTAGCATTACATGTGGTCACTAGTACTACATATGCAAGAGTAATACAGTACTTATGGTCCCTAGTACTAGACCTACAAATGTCCAGCAGTACTGTACTTGGGACCTTACCTATGTGTCACTATCTTAGCCAGGTGGGTGAGTGGTGAAGCAGGTGAAGTGTTGTTACAGTGATATATAATAATGTGTATTGGTGTTGGGAACTGTAGATAGTTATTTTCGTACTATATTGCATAACTTCATTCATGTTGCATAACTGTTCATTCATGTTGCATTATAATTTTATATGCTTGGTAAATTCAGTATTCCTGATAAAAACATTCCTTACCTATTATATTGAACAACTGTATCCCAATATTTTATGTCAGGATTGCTAATTTATCCAGTCTAATATTATAACTGTACAGTACTTATATGCACAAAAGTACATGTCTTGTAATAATGTCTATGATATGCAAATGCAGGTTGTGCCTAATAATAGCCTATTAAAAATTGCATAAACATATCAGAAATATAAAAAGGTGTTATAGGAATTTGTAATAGTGAAACAATCAGCCAAACCTATTGTCAGTATGTCATATTGCAAAACAGTTAATTGCAACTGAGCAGAGTGAGCAATTTCTCAATGGGCTCAAAAGCAGGGTTCAAACTCTAAATGGTTTATACAATGGATATCCCTTGTAACTTACGGTAATATGTAAAAATACACTTAACTGGTTGACTTAAAGAAAAAAATTAACATAGCTAGATCAATAGATTTTATTCAGTAAAATCGTAACACAAGTTTACATTGACTCAGCATGTATATAGACAATGCCGGTACAGTATGCAGTTCAGCATGTGTATACACAATGCAGGTACCTGTACTGTATACAGTTCAGCATGTAATGTACAGTACCTGTACATGCTTTACTAGATACAGTACAGTATATTAATCAGATACAAAATTAAAATAAAGAATTACAGCAATATTTTCTACCTTAATTATGCCCCTAACTGATAAAGAAGAGAGCGTATCTTGTTAAGGTAGTTTCAGTATACATGTTACTGTACTGTAATTCTGATAGTGTTTTCAGAGGAAAAAAAAGATGCAAATTTGCATTTTTAACTTTTGTTTCCAAATTACAGTACAGTAGATGTATTCTTATCCCTTCAGTTATAGGAAATGTTCGTCGTTAAAGCCATTAAGAATCTTGGCCCAAGAAGACAGTTGTTACTCAGATTGTTAAATACTGTATATGTCACATTTTTGCTATAACCTCCTTCAGGGAGGACCTCTTCAGAGCCACATTTCTTGCCCCAGCTGTGCTTGAGAATAAATGCTTTGGGAACAAATGTCTTTATAGTTATCCTTAAACACAGATGTTTATGTTCATCCCAAGATATATTAATGTTTACTCCAAGATGCAAGTGATTACAACACAGGCGTTTTTTTTTTTTTTACGCTAAGACACGGGTGTTTTTGTTTGCCAAAACATGTTACAGAGTTTTGGTGTGGAGAATGAAGACTTCAGGAAAGCGAATAAAAGCATTAACTATTGTACATGTATACTTAAGGACCCTCCCCCCCCTCTCTCTAGTACACATAACACACACATAAATATCAGTAACTAGTACTGAAGCAGGGAAGCCAAACAGTTCACATCCTTGAGCCTGAGACGAAGGCAGTGCCGGTGTCATGCGACAAATCTTCCGGTGCGATAAACCTTCCGGGCTCAGCAATTACTGATGTTCATTATCGACATCTAAGATGTATGGCTGATTTGTGAGCTGAAAATATTAATAAATACGTTAACGGAAGGTTTTGAATGAATTTCCCATTATATCTTGAGCAAACTGAGTACAGTATAAGGATGATATGAAACATACTCACTACCAAAGACAATGAAAGCACAAGTGGGCAATGCTTTGAAGTCGATGGAAATAGTGAGGTAAGAACACAAAAAATGAACCAATCAAACCCAAGGACTCCTGACCTAACCTGCCCTAACCTAACATTACAAAATCTTACCCTACTTAACCGATGGTGGAGGCTGATCACGCGTGAAGAAGTAAACAATAAACACTTAAGCGAACTGAAGAACCACCAAAGTTGTATGAATTTTACTAACTTTATAATTAAATTTAATACCCAAAATTAAGCATTTACCCCGGAAGGCTTGTCGCACGACACCGGGATTTACCAGGAGGCAAATGAGGCTGTAGCAGCAAGTCAACCTCCACTACATACTATACCCTCTTCCGGTCATTATCTGATTAACCCTGCCCCTCTACATAATAAAATAAGGAGTCTGCAATAGGCCGGTTGGCCTGTGCATGGCAGCTCCTGTCGAGAGTTACTACCACTCTATCATCCATGAATCTATCTAGCCTCCTTTTGAAACTTTCCAGAGTTCCAGCACTTACTACAAAGTTGCTAAGCTTGTTCCACTCGTCCACCACCATATTTGTGAACCAGTTTCTTCCTATCTCCCTCCTAAACCTAAACTTATCCAACTTGAATCCGTTGCTCCGAGTCCTATCCTGCTCGGAAATTATATGAACTTTATCTATATCCCCTTTACTGATTCCTTAAATACTTCTATCATATCTCCCCGCACTCTTCGTCATTCTTATATGATTAACCCACAAATAATATCTGATAAACGAAAATCAGGTTATTTTCACAGCATTAATTTTTAGCTTTCATTTGACTTTGAAATTCCCGGCATCATGGAAATTGTAACGATGCCCATGATTGGTCAAAAAAAAATCTAGTCCCCCACCAATAAGAACGAGTTTTACAGATTGTTTGTTTATGTCCTGATGGTCCAGCTGACCTGGCCGGGCGAGGATGACTGACTGTTAACCCCCATTACTCTGTTAACACTAAGGTAAGATCAGGAAGAGTTTGGTGTATAAGTACTTGTGAAGAGTATGAGAGATAACAGGTTCAGGGTAGAGCAGTGAGTCACTATTCTTGTCCATGACTTATTAAGATAAACAAAACTATAATATTTACCTTCATCAGGGCAAGTCTTGGGTTGTTGTTAATGTCCTTTATTGTGATGGCTGCTGTGACGTTATGTTCATCTTTATAACCAAACCCATTCTGATCTACCCACTATGACATATTAGGGTATTGAATGTAACAGTACAGGTAACGCTTAACTAATATTTCTTCAGAATTTTGTTTTATGAAAATTCCAAATTAGTGGATGACTGAAACTATAATTTTACTTTTTTTCAATCAATTTCGCTTACTGGTTAATCTTATATAATTACCAAATATTACGTGAATAGGGATAATGGTGCAGCTTATTTGTATTTTTTAAATTTACAATAAAATATAGGCAGTGGATATTTTGCCATGATTGACTAAGCTCCTACTAATGCTATTTTACCATGGGTGTGCTCTCACTAACTAATCGTCCATTACCGGCGAACAACGCAAGAACTATATTTGACTGTGACACTGGTGGCATGTGGCATTTTTTTGCTGTGAGTTGATCATTGTAACTATAAACATACTAACCATATTTACGCTGTGCATAGAAACTTCTAACAAAAAATATAGGTAATGATTTGTTTTAGGTCGAACATACTGTACAATTTCACATTTCTATCCGCTGTATATAAGGAGAAAGCAAAAACAAATATATTCTATTACATTTCCCCAATTGGTTGTTCAAAGTAGACAGTAGAAGGAAAATGTGGGGTAAAATACTAAAAAGAACACCAAGCAAACCTTTGAAAACCTTACCTAACTTGTAAAAAAGGTTAAAAATATGGTAATGTCTGAGAACCACTACTACCAGAAGGAGTTATTATATGTGGTCATTTTTTCCACAGATGTTCGTATCATTATAAAAGAGGCGACATTTACTAAAACCTAATAGAACCTGACCTAACCAACCAAAGATACTTACCTAGCCTTACCTAACTTGCTAGCCTTCTGGATCACCTGCCATATCAATCAGAAAGTACAGTACTTATTTTGATATCTGGGACCAATGAAATCAAATTTGTTGAAGCTTCTTGGTGTAATTTTACGTTTTTTTGGACGTGAGAGGACGTTGGGACCCAGCAGGTGGGTTGTAAACAAACAATCCAGACAACACGCAGTGATGTGATAGATTTTTTTGAGGAGTATTTACAGTGAAAAATTAATTTCTTCATGTACAAACTACATAGAGGCATCATTTTAGTGTCATATGATCAGTTTTATACCGTGTTTTAACCGTCAATTTCCCTCATCCTTCATGCCCTGCCTACTACAGGTGATTTATGATTGTAGAGAAAAACTTTACGCGTTTCCACGTTTACGCGGTACCCTGCCGAACACGGAATGCTCACTTTCCGTGGTGCGTGTACCCCTTTACACGGAGCGGCTGGCGGTCCTCTCGCGCCACGCCATTTTTGGATCCAAACCTCCCGCCATCCGCCATGTTGTGTAAGCGGCGCGAGTAGGTTGCGCAGTGTATGTCTTTGTTGCGTTATCGGTGACGTCATATGACGTAGCAGACTGTGATTGGGCAAAGCATCCTTACCTCCCTCCCTGCTAGCTGTGATTGGTTTAATGTAGTACTATGACGTGCCCCGCCGCGGGAGTGTTCAAGCCCCTTGACCTACTGCGTCAGTTACACCCCTCCCAGCTACACCGTGTATATCGGTATCCATTGTTCCATAAGAATGGCTTCCACCAGACCACCACCACCACCACAAAGAGACTTGCATTACCTGGACCCAGCCGCCCTAAGCCAAAGAAGACACGACGTTCCTTAAGCTACGAAATAAAATATAAGATCACATAAGAGTTGGAGAAAGGAACAAGACAGGTTGATCTCGCGCGCCAGCATGGTGTTAACGAATCAACTATCAGGACAATTAAGAAGGATGCAGCCAAGATAAAGGAGCACATGAACATCACAAAGTCTACAGGTGCTTCTATGATCAAGTATTTCCACAACCAGGTGCTTCTCAAGACGGAAAAATTACTTGTGAGCTACTTGGTGCGTCAGGCGCGATGGAACATGGCGGTGGACACGCGCTCAGTTAAGGAGTACGCACGTGAACTGTATGCTGCAGTGTCACGAAAGATGGGAATTACAGAGCCCAAACCCTTTAATGCTTCCTCTGGGTGGTTACAGAGGTTTAAGAAGAGGAACAAGATCACCAATATCAACATTGGTGGTGAAGAAGCTAGTGCTGACCGTGTTGCGGCTAGGGAATTTCCTCCGTTTTTACGTGAGATTATGGAGGAAGGACAGTACACCGACGACCAGGTGTTTAACATGGACGAATCTGGTCTTTTTTGGAAAAAGCTATCTTCCAAGACCTTCGTTGTGAAGAATGCCAGCAAGTGTCGGGGCCGTAAGTTGCAGAAGGAGCGCATCACCGTCCTATTTACCACCAATGCCTCCGGTACCTGTAAGCTCAAGTTATCGGTGATCCACACGGCACGCAAGCTGCACGCCTACAAGAGCATGGACATGACCAAGCTAAATGTCCACTGGCTGACTGCACGTAAGGCGTGGATGTTCTCTACACTGTCCCTCTCCTGGTTTGATGACTGTTTCGTTCCCGATGTGAAGAAATTCTGTGAGCAACAGAATGTGCCATTCAAGATTTTGTTGTTGCTTGACAACGCACCAGGACACTCGCCCCTACTGTTAGATCGTCACCCCAACGTAAAAGTGGTCTTCCTTCCTCCCAACACTACGTCTATAATACAGCCCATGGACCAAGAATTGATCTGTAATGTAAAAGCTGCATTCTCTGCTAAAAAATTCAACCTCCTGAACGACTACACCAACACCAAGGAAGAGTTGCGTAACTTGAGTGACACCAACACCGATAAGCAAGAGCGAAGACGACGAGGATCAACAGTTGGCAGAGCAAGAAGTACTTTTGAAACAATTCTGGAGAACTTTCAATGTCAGAAAGCTGTGGACTTCTTGGTGGAGGCATGGGATCAGCTGTCTGTAGCAACTGTTCGTCACGCATGGAGACATGTGTTGCAAGGCATTCCGGGTGTTAGGCAGAGTAAATCTGTGACTGGTGAGGTTCAGACTGTTGCAGTAGCAGTGGACCTTGCCAGAGAAGCTGCGCAGAGTGTTACAGCTGCAGGCTTCTCCGAGACCACCAATGACGACATCCTGGAGGTGATAAGGGATCCTGATGTGACTACCGACGAGATGGTAGATGATGATGACGTCAGTGAAGAGGCAGGTGGTGCGTCCCAGGAAGAACGCTGCTTATCCCATAGTAATGTAAGGGGTGCCATCGAGTGTATTGAGAAAGTCAAGCTCCAACTTTCCGACGACCCTGACGCAAACAGGTATGAAATCTTCACTACCCAGCTGTTGCAGACTATGGAGCCCTACATCAAGGTTTATCACGACAACATAAACACCAGCCGTCAGCAAAGCATAACAGAGTTCTTCGCCCGCAACCCACCACAGCCAGCCCAAGCCAGTGATAGTGACAGAGACAGTGATGATGACTTTGAGGGATTTGTCAGGGAGGCACTAGTAAGTGTGGATGACACCGATGAAGACTCACCTGAGGGCCAGTAGCCTGCCCTCTGCCTCGGAACCAGCCTCCATTCCCCTACGCCGACCCATCTCTTCTACTAACGTAAGTGTTAACCCCAACCTTGTTTTTTTCTAACCTAACCTTCAGTTTATTATTCTCTTATTGAATGTTCCCTTCTATATTATGTGTGGGTGAATACCATCATAAAGGTAAGATGTTATTTTTAGTAAAACGTACGTATTGTCGGGAAAAAGTGGAGTTTGGGGGGTCGGCCCGGTCTCTATTTCAATTAATCCCATATGTTATGTTGTTCACTTTACGCGTTTCTCACTTTACGCGGGCCGCCGTGGGTTCAATTAACCACGTAAAGTGAGGGTTCACTGTGTATATATATATATATATATATATATATATATATATATATATATATATATATATATATATATATATATATATATATATATATATATATATATATATATATATATATATATATATATATATATATATATGAAAAACGTGGATAAGATAAATCTTGCCTCTGAAGATGTCTTGAATAAAGAGAAAGCTAAGGTACTCCGTTGTTTCCATCTTCCCGTGTGATTTTATCAAGATATATATATATATATATATATATATATATATATATATATATATATATATATATATATATATATATATATATATATATATATATATATATATATATATATATATATAATTAAATTTAAAAGTTGTTGCCTCTTTTAAAATACAGTACAGTACTTACTAATGATAAGAATGGGAAAAAATGACCGAAATTGAACAAATTCTGGTGTTAGCCATCTCCTTCAGTATGACCAAATATAATTTTACTAAATACAGTACGGTATTCTCTACATTGGAGTGCGAGTCAGTGTCTGGATGACCCCCAACACTGGTGCTAGTTTGCATGTCAGGCCAGTAAGGGTGGGACGGGATCCATACCCTCCACCTTGGGTGGACCACGAATTTCTGTGCACAACTGTACAGTATCTCAAAAAAGTATTTGTCCACATCTGGATGATTCGTATTGGGACATGCATTTACTTTGGTGTATAGTTTAACATATGTAGTGCAATGTGTATTTATTTTGGCATAATTAATATGATGTTCGATTGCCAAATGTAGTAGGATCAGTATGCCACAGAGCAAGGCATACCAACCCTACCGGGACATCACAAGTCACGTGTAGCGTTTCGGAAGTCTTTGGACCCACCCTGGCAGATACAGGACTTTTATCGGACACTGTACTGTACAATCTTTTACTGTAAGGGTTAAATGGCAGCCATCATCAGTGAAAGTTGGTTGTAGAGACAGCAGCCATCATCAGTGGACATTTGCTGTCGGGATGGTGGCCATCATCAGTGGAAGATAGCTGTAGGGGTGGTGGCCATAATCAGTGGAAGTTAGCTGTAGGGGTGGTGGCCATCATCAGTGGAAGTTAGCTGTAGGGGTGGTGGCCATCATCAGTGGAAGTTAGCTGTAGGGGTGGTGGCCATCATCAGTGGAAGTTAGCTGTAGGGGTGGTGGCCATCATCAGTGGAAGTTAGCTGTAGGGGTGGTGGCCATCATCAGTGGACATTTCATGTTATGTGCTGTCAGGAATTCTGAAGGTGTTTCAACATGTGTAAACTGTCAACAAGAATAGGGACTCTAATGCTGTACAGTACAGTACTATGTGTATATTATTGATTACACATGTCAAATTGATTTATATTTGATGTGTGTAAATCATTAGTACAGAAATTAGATTCCTTATTCTAGTCAAGAGTTTGCATATGTTTGAGTATGTTCAGATCTCCATACACTTGCATTCCTTTTTTGCACTTATGTGGGCGGAGTAGGGAATCCCTAGCTGCTGGTTAAGGGTTAATAAAAATATAATGGAAAAATTCCAATTGCAGCAATAAGGTGGAGGCGCTTTTCTACATACTGTACAATATTTTCTATATTTAACATTTCAGGAGCACCTTTATAGCCACCAGACTTTAACTTTCAGTGACATATTTTATTTGATTTTCAGGAAGGACTCTTGCAGACATGTCTCTTGAACAAACAGCTTGTGAAGGTAACTAGTGCATTCACTGGAATTTTTTTTTAATTATTCATCAATGTAGTTGTCATTAAAACACATGCATTAATTTCTATTTTATTAGATATTTATTGAAATCAAGGATCACCTAAAGACTAGCTACCCCCTCCCACAACTTATTTCATCTGATGTTTAAACAACCTAACACTGCCTTGTTGGTTATGTTAGGTTAGGTTAGTTAGATGATGCTGAGTTGTTGAGTATGAAGCTGGGGAGTAAACTAGATAAAAATGTTGGGGCTGTGTTGTGGAAAAGATTACCTTAGTAGACCACACACACCTCTTGCAGCAATTGCAGAGGGTGCTCTTAATTCTGGCAACTTGCACCATGTAGGAAAATGCTTGCAAGGTTAAGAAAAAGTAATTATAAATAGATTAATGTCATATTTGTAAGTACAGGTACAGTAAATGATGATTTTCTAAAATAAAAATTGTGGTCAGATATACTTACATGATAAGAGATTATAGGAGTACTGTGCAGTTAAAGATAGATATTTTACAATCCTTAATTTTACGCTCACAATTTTTACACTCATTTAATTGAGAAAATATAGTGTTAGATACATTGGTTGAGACAGAATTGGTAATGTTTTTTTAACATCTGAAGTAATAATGTCTCGACAGGATGTTTAATCAAGTTGTTTCTTTCAGATCTAAAAGCATTTGAGCGAAGGTTAACAGAGGTAATTGCTCGACTGCAGCCAGCAACAACACGATGGAGAAGTGAGTAATGTTATTTCTTCTGTGTTTTGTAACAGGGACAGCACAGTATATATCTATTGTTACTGGCAACATGGGATGCTGGATTGTGTGAAATAACAGGAATATGTATAGCTTAGCACTGTATGCTATGAATCACAGCCATTTTTTTTTCATGGTTTCATCTCTAATATAGAACTGTTTTGTACAGCTGTATTCCTTAGTGCTTATATATATCATTATAAGTGATATCACCATCAGCCAGAACAATTGGTGCAGAGCACTTCTGGTAATGAGAGATTTCCGGGTAACGAGGCGACTCTTTCAAAACCGGAAAAAACTCCCCCCATCCCCAGAATTTTCTGGGTATCGGGAAAATTTTTTGTAATTTTCCGGAAAATGTGCCCCACGGAAAATCGTTCCCATAGCCGGAATTTTCCGGAAAATTACGGCTTTGGGAATGATTTTCCGAGAAAATTTCAATTCCGGTTGTCGGAGAGTTCCGGGTTTGAGGGAGTCCAGCTAGCGGAGATATTACTGTATTTCTCACTCTGCACTCAGGGATTTCAACAATTTTGTAAAAAAGAATTCCCTTACAACTAACTGTACGTACTTGCATTTTGTGACGGTCTGTTCTTTGAGACTCACATACATTTTACTAACACAATAATGTCGGGTAAGTTATACCACAGAGAATAAGGTGGAAAGACATGATAGATTAAGAGATGTGGGTGACTAAGGAGTACACATTTGATAAGAAATTGTGGAGAAGGATGACTTGAGTGGACAACCCCAAAGGAAGATGGGACAAAGGTCATATGAAGGAGAGCTTGTACAGTATTACTTGATCATTTCCACGATATTATTCCCTACTCTTGCTTTTCTCTGGAAGAAGAACACAAAGAGTGGATTTCTGTGATCATAATTCCAGCCATTAATCCCTTCACATACAAACTGTGTAATACATTAGGTGCCAGTGGCTATTATCCCAGGAAATCAAAGAAAAAATCATCAAATTTTTGGGGTGAATCCAACATGATTATTTGATGCCCATTATGAAGTGTCTCCCAGAAAATATTGCTGGAGTTCCTGAATTATTTTAGCCACAAGTAAATCCCTTCATATAAATGCTTTGGGTTCCAATGGCCTGCATTACAAAATATGTATGAAAAATTCATTCAAGTTTTGACAAAGGCTTCTCGCTTCTGTCACTTTGAAATTGATTTTTATGGTTCTCTTCTCTGGTTGTTTAAAAAAACTAATACTGTAATGGTAACCCATGTTTAATTAAGTTATAATTTTGATTTGTTCAACTAGTAGTACAGTATTGTATTATGTATGTAGTAATTTAAGTTTCCTTTGCAGTGATATTGGTGTTTGTGGCAGCTAGCACAGCTCTTGGGGCATACCTCTGGCTCACAGACCCCATAACACAGGATGCATCTTTCGTCCAATCTCTTCTTAATCACCTCTTCTTTACATTTGCTGCATCTGCTTTAAGTAAGAACTGCATTTCTCTTTGGTTTATTTATTTTATTTTAATGAAAACTCAATGAGGGTGTAGAATAAAACAGAGGAAGGCAGGAGGATGGGGGAGGTAACCATGATAATGTTAGGCAGTAGCTGAGATCTCAGTAACATTGTCACTGGAATATACTGTAGTACAGTAGTACAGGTGAAGAATATTGTGTGAAAAGGTAAGTTCTCCATAAGAATGATGGTAGTTGTAGGAGGTTATTTTTTAGATTGCCTCCACCCCCACCCCCCCCTTCCCATATATTTATTTGGTAAAGTACAGGTATTTTCTTTCAGATATACGGTACTGTACAGTACAGGAATACCTAACTATTCGCAATCCCGCTTATCTGCAAATGAAATTTTAACACCTACGATATTCGATATTTGCAAAACGTACCCCATTTATTTACAAATGAAAAATTACGATACCATACAGTAATATTTCAAACCGGGCAGGCTAGCTGCAGCTCTCATATTGTAAGGCCTGCTTCTTACAAGTGGTTTTTTTTCGCGCATACCTACAATTCACAAGGAGCATAAGCAGGAAAATTCACGTGCTGGAGATGCCCACCCCATGCCTGTACCTGTACAGTATTTCCAAACCATGGGGTGAAAAATTATGCTGAGCATTTTAGAATTCTTCATATGGCAATGGTAAATGCTAGTTTAAATATTTACACTCATTTCCAAATGTCGTACAGCACACACACACACACACACTATTCTTTTGTATTGTTTTATGTTATTGTAGTTATTTTATTGCATTATATGGAATGTACAGTACCTGTACAGTATATCGAAAAATATGTTGCTATAAAATAAGAAATATAAAGAGCATAAGTGTGTACAGTTGTACCTCTCTAGTCCGGCATTCTGTGGTCTGGAAACTCCCGTGGTCCGGAACGATTTTAGTTTGCCCAATAGCCAACATCCCTGATGTAACTCAAGTGTAATTTTAGTTACAGTACCATCACTTCACTTTGGAAGCAGAATTATGGTAGCATTAAAGGTAAATTAAATAGTATTTTAACAGTATTACTTTTTCTTATTTATTTATTTCCTATCTTATGTTTTTATGCTTTATGTAGGGTGTTTCGAGGGTGAATTTTCATGGTCTGGCACCGGTCAGGTCCCGAGGTTGCCGGACTAGAGAGGTACAACCTGTATGTGTGGACTTGGCAGGTCTTCAAGTTAGATTGTCCCTGTAGCTACATCCTCCTAGCTCTCCTCCTACCAGGTGAAGCTGTTTCATTGTTTTTTTTTAACTAGTAATTTTGAGTAGCTATTCAGATATACAGGTTGTACCTCTCTAGTCTGGCAACCTCGGGACCTGACCGGTGCCGGACCATGGAAATTCACCCTTTTCCTGGATAGATAGTGACTTGTGCTTATGCTTGGAAGCAGTAGCACCACTTTCTCTGCATCATGGTCTCTTTGTAGACATATTGAAGGGTTAAATGTCGTATAGTAGCTTCTCAAATTTCGCGAGTTTTTAATTCAACGTATTTTATCGGAACACACAAAAAAATAAATAAAAATTTTGACGGCGGAAACTTGAATTTCAACGAGTTTTAACGGCCCGCCAACGTGCAGACGACGTGCATAATCATGTAAACAGCGTCATTTCTCTTATGTACAAAAGATTCATTATTGTTTATTACTGAATATCTTTTTTATTGAAGTAATGTTTATGTGTGCAAAATGAGCAATACAATTCATTAATAATACGTAGAATATTAAAACACACGAGGAAATGACACAGCATTGTTTTCGTTGATTACAAATCCAATGACTGACTGGTTCTACATATAAAACTGAAGAAAATAAGACTTTGGTTGTAGCTCTAGTAAAATTAATATGGTTGTTTTAAGTAATGTTATTTAATGTTAATAAATGGAACAATAGAAGTAGCTAACGATAATGGTAAAGAAAAAAGAGATCACGTATGTAAGTGCGCACACGTGAAAACATATCGTCGTTACTTTACATAAGAATATGAAAGCAACACTTATTTACTGTTCATATATATTTTAATTAATGTTTCTGAATTTGTTTTTATTGAATTAATGTTTGTGTGTGCAAAATTAACAATGCAATTTATTAATAATACGTGGAATATTAAAACACACGAGAAGACGAGACGGCTGCCGGCATTGTTTATGTTAAAGCTTACAAAACCAGTGACTGATTGGTTCTAAATATAAAACTGAAGAAAATAAAACCCTGATTGTAGCTGTAGTAAAATTAATGTAAAAAAATTAATATGGTTGCTTGAAGTACCTGTAATGTTATTTAATGTTAATAAATGGAACAATATAAGTAGCTAACCATTAATGGTAAAAAAAAAAGTATGACTGTGCATATGTAAGTGCGCACATGTGAAAACATATCGTTATTACTCTACATAAGAATATGAAAGCAACACTTATTTACAGCTCATATATATTGAAGGGTTAAATGTTGTACTCTGTATAGACAAGCAGAGAGAGAGAGCAGCCGAACTGCCGGATGTAAACAAACCTTAATTTCCCGCGGCTTTGTTGTTGTTTTTTTTACGGGGATTAGCCCACCCGGGCATAGGTCACTGACCCACTGAGGGGCAAAAATTTAATACTCCTGTAATAATAATAATAATAATTAAAAAAAAAAATGCCCATCTACCTATTGGACAAACTAAAATCGTTCCGGACCACAGAATGCTGGACTAGAGAGGTACAACCTGTATATATAGGTATCTATATTTTTTTTACTCTGTTACATGCTCATACAATTGTTCATACAGAATGTGCAAAAAACGAAAAGTGATTATCATAGGATCAAAAACATAAGAGAATAAAAATGTCTTATGTCCGTGGGAGTAAGTGTGGGAGAGGCAGTGGGGTACGGGTGGCGGTAAAATCATACAGAGTGAGTATGTAAGTAGTTTTAAGTCTTGATTCACTTTATGACAATAAGAAAATGAACCAATATTGTGGTAATGATACTTATGTTTAATGTTTCAGTTCTACTGTTTATAATGGGAATTCACAGAAAAGTGGTGTCTCCCTCGATAATCACATCCCGAACCCGAGCGGTTCTGGTGGATTTCAACATGTCTTGCGATGACACCGGCAAACTTATCTTAAAACCACGACCAACGACGACCTGAAAATACTTGTTTTAGGATATAAGGCTACAAGATTATTTGTATTTATATTCTGATAGAATATATAGCTGCGACTGTTTAATAGTGGCTTCACAAACATACCTGCAACTACTTTAACAGATCTTGCACCAGTTTGATATAAAGGATAAAACTGCAACAAATTGCATGTCTTCATTTTAAAAGTTGACACATTCTTTTATAAGCTGTTTTCTTGAGGTAAATACTGTACTCTATACGGTATGTAATTTTCAATTTGCAGAATGAATTAGACAGTTGCATATTTTAAGCACAATAATCTCCATTACATATTACTTTGAAAGGCATTACAGTACACTTCAACTGGAAACACTACTGTATGTTCAACAGTATGATAGTTATCCCAGAAGTATTCAGTTGTTTCTCTAAATAGTGTGTTCCTCCACGAGCTGTAAGTAGCCAAGTAATGCCCTTCATGCCGTTCTATGTTTGGTGCTGGGGAGGATCCAAGTCTTTGCAGATTGTAATTTATTATTAATTTTAGGTAGCTTTGATATGAATGGAATTTTAATTTTATAGTACGTACTTCATTTATGTCGTCTGCAGCAATGGTACATTGGATTTATGCTCATGAATCCTCCAAAAATGTTTTTGTTGTAGATTTAAAGGAATTATTAGACAAAATGTTTTGCAAGTCTTACTTACAAAACCTACCTTAGCACTTTTTATTTTTTTTTGTGAACATTAAAGAACTGTATTACATGTGAAATACAGTACTGTCTACTCAAAATTCTTTATGTCAAGACTTTATACAAGCAGATCCAGATACACAACTGTAAAAAGGCTCTCTGATGTGTAAGTGCAGGTTGCCAGACACGTTTTTGCTGTGAATACTCTGATTTTAGTGTAAGGATTTTTTTTGCTTGATAATGAAAGGTTTTACTCAGTACCGTTTGCTGTTTTTCTTCCTTTTTACTCTATTACTCTAATTTTTTTAATATTAAATTAGGTACTGTATTAGGGTAAGTACACAAAGAAAGCAGGTTACCCACCTGCCGGTTTCCAGCACTGATGGGCGGACACACAGGAAGCAGGTTTATCTGTGAGTTGTGGTCCAGATGTAGCGCAGTAAAGGTGTCTAGCTCATCGTCTGACAAAGATTTTTTTTTACTCGATGGTTCTTATGCAAAAATCAGGAGGAAAAGAACTGGAATACTGTACAGTACATGAAATCAATCGTAGTAGAGAAAATTACAGTGACTATTATCATCTTTTGAGCCTAAAAAGGACCCAAGTAGGTTTTTTCAGTACATGAGAATGACTTGGGAAGCTTTTGACTACATACATTTTGAAGAAGGTTGATCATCATTTGACAAAAACATGGTATAACTGGCACACCTCTTACAACTAGCACCACCACAACAACATATTGACCCGTGCGCGTAAGCGAGAAAAGAATGTTTTGTTCATTCCAGTAAACTTGTCAGCGCTTCAACATGCTCTACATTCTCCCCAAACTAACGTATGCGTCACCAGCCTGGTTGTCTTCTCTTAACTCCACCCAACAACGTCAGCTAGAGAAGGTACAGAAAAGGGCCTGCAGAATCATGCTCGGCGCAGAATACTCCGGCTACACCAACGCTCTCTCCACCCTGGAGATGCCATCCCTCAGTGACCTCCACCACCAAGCACTGGAAAGGTTTGGCCGTGAACTACTGCACCACCCTCGCCACCGCCACCTGCAGCCCCCAACCCAACTCGCGCAGTCCGCCACTACAACAAAATTCAGCCCATAAGAGCCCGCACCGATAGATATAAGAACAGCACCATCCTATCTATTGTTAAAATAATAAACAACAACTGATTTATGTACTGTACAGCTCTGTAAATGTATTCACTGCATATTATATCATTAGGTCTAAATCAAATGTAAGTCTGTATATTTTCAGCCACTGGCTGCAACTCTATTAATAAACCGTTTATTATTATTATTATTATTATTATTACTGTGTGCAGCTGCTCTCTCTTGATAGCATGATCACATGCATGATAATTGTCAGAGTTGGTAAACCTGCTTTCTTTGTATTCTTACCCTTAGGATTGCTGTGGCTGGTTCAGTTCTTCATAAATATATTATAAAATGCTACAGTACCTCTCAAACAAAAAAGAATTTTGTCACTCATGATCCTGAAGAAAAGGGTAGATTAAACAAAAAAAAATTCCCATTGTACAATATATTTAGTTTCTCAAGTTTTAGATTTGAGCAACTATGTGTGGTTATTTCTATTTATTTTGCCTTCAATTATCTTGTGCCACTCCTTTTTTTTTTTTGAGGTTTTTATTCTCTAGATCCATCCCCACATATGTGAGAATGGAATAAAAAAAAAATCAAATCTGTATTATACACAACTAGAATCTTAAAGCAAGATTTAGATTCGGTACTCTGTGCAGTAACTGAAGTGCAAGCGCCAAAGGAAACAGGATATTAAATACAGGTGCTCCTCTACTTATGAACAAGTTAGTTCCTCAGGCTTGTTTGTAAGTTAAACTTTACTCTTGTAGTTAACTTTACCCATTTCTTAAAATACATACAGTACTTTATATTATTTTAACCCATTTCTTAAAACCCTCAAGCATCTCTGTTAAAGGTACTATGTACAGTGAGTTCTGCTATAACGCGTGTTTTGATAACGCGAATTTGCTCTAACGCAATTTATGAATTAGGAACGATATTTGTATAACGCGAACGCTTGTTTGCTATAACGCGATTTTTGTTTACTATTTCTCCAATTTTGTGGTATTAACTGTGAATATGGTGAAGAAGAATATCTCCAAGAAGCGTTCTGGTGATAGAATTCCCGGTGATGATCGTAAAAGAAAGGATATAACACTTGAAGAGAAGCTCGATTTTATCAACCTCAAAATCACCCTCCTCCCCCATCAAGTTACATTCATATTTTTTCAAGGTAAAGTGTTACATTTACTGTATGATTTCATTATTAGATATGAATGTAACATTTATTTAGACTGTGCTCTCCTTTGTGTTAGGCTAACTACTAAATTTTTTCGATTTCGAGTAATCTGCACCTAACCCTATTTTCTCCATAAGCCCTGTTATTTCTATTACGCGATTTTCTATAACACGATATTTTACAAGAACACAATTATCGCGTTATAGCAGAACTACCTGTACTATACATAAAAATTTCACGTAAATGAGGGTAGGCAGGACTCGGAATGAGACGCGCACAAACGTTCAACCACACACATACATCTTTGAGAGTGAAAAAAATGAATTGCTGTGTAAAGTGGGTCTACTGTACTATCTAGATGAAAAGAAAACAAAAATGAATGAAAGTTTAACAACCGCAATTTTCACAAGACACTGGCTGCACGGCCTCAGACCTCACCATAGCAACATAGCCGCTGGGACATCCCCACCCCTTAGCAACAGGGCTCCCACTGCTCAGCCTGCTAACTCTCACACAAATAAACATTTATTCCCTTATGATTTTGACCTTATGATAGTCATTCCTTTTACTTTTTTTGCACCTTGTGTATGAAAGGATTGTGTGTGCATGTAACCGAGTTAAAAATTACGAACAAAGTTAAGTACTGTACAGTATACTTACCCGAAATTATGAGTTGAACAATAACAGCTCAGCCAGGTAGGGAGAAGGCTCGAGGGATGTGACTAGAGTGATGAGGCCGACTTAGCAACAATGCCACCAGCGAGGTTAATAGGTATTTGTAAATTTTAAGTGGCATATACTGTACAGTACAGTGAATGAGTTCTGTGCCCAGATCCTCTAAACTGACCGTAACTTTGATTGTATCTCCCCCCCCCCCTTATCTCGAGTGGCTACGGTGACCGTACGATATTGGTTATAGGCAATTTCATAAAGGTTTCTACGGTCACTGCAAGTGAATTTATTTCAATAAGCTACCACTAGGTGGAATTTGGGGTGTTTGTTTGTTCCCTCGCTAGACCAGTCACTACCAGGAACAAAACATGAAGGAATACTAGCCAATCACAAGTTACCCTTGCCAGCAGACGACAATAGATTAAAAGGAAAGTTGGCTGAATTTCTCCGGTGAGATTTTTGTTAATAATAATATGATCACTATCATTACTATTATTATTTTAGGGCAAATGCACTTTATAATTCTTGAACCAGTTGATTGTCTTAAGCTAGTAACATCAACTAAACTCTGGAAAACACCACTTGCAAAGCTCATAGCTATTAACACACACATCTAGCCAGAGTATATCTCTATGTAGCAGTATGTGGTCAACAATTTGTAGAGGCTCCAAAGGATCCCTAAACACCCTTTCTCTCTGGAGTGCACGGTCATGAGCTGAAGCAATCATTAATGAGTTTCACTAATTAGTGACGCTTGAAGTATTGTAGAGAAAATGGGAGTTATTTCTGCCCTGTGGTCTATAAATTGTTAAATGAATTGCCCATTCAGTCTTATGGTTGATTGTAGGGACTTACAATGACCATAAGTCATTAGGGAATATGCCCCCTAATCGTTATGTAGCAACATAAAGAATCTAGGGTTATGGTAGGCAAGTCAAGGCTAAAGGAGCTTACTGGAAAGGTTAGCCTACCATGAGCATGAACTGAGTAGTTCTTGTTCACTGTAAATGACTCGTGGACAGTATAAATGGACAGGTTTGTTTATATCTCTGAAAGTTTGAAGTAGAGGACCTGTACACATAAAGCATTAATGTAACTTTTATGTTATTTGTCAAAAGCTTTGAATTACAATAATATTTTGGAGATAAATTAAAAAAAAATGTATTAAACCTTTTTAAGTTACAATTAACAATGGTGTTGTCCAGTGTAATAACTAATGTAGACTGAAATGTGTAAATTTTTTTTTGCCATTTCACTTACCATACTACTTATGTACGGTTTATATTTGATTGCTACAAACTACAGTACCTGTAGTTATTTAAGGACATTCTTTGAGGAATAACTGATGATAAGAATTTGCTTTTTATATTACCTGATATTATTAATTCATGGTATGGGGAGAAGTAAGAAATTATCTCAGATGAGAGAGGCTGTACAAGACCATATAGCATGAAGATCAGCCATTGGGTAATCATGGCGAACACACACAAGCGTGGAAAATTGATGTAAAACAGCGGTGGTGGTAAAAGTACAGTTCAGTATTACTTACACCAGGTTATCACTCACGTGCACATTAATATTAATGCTACCAAGATCTTCATACTAAATCTGTGAGTTTGTTTAGGCGAGTCGAACAAATTCTAGATCATATAAAGCATATACCATACAGTACTGTGCATCATTATTAACCATTCCTAAATACAGTACTGTACATTTGTGTTTGTAAATACAGTACTTGCCTCCAAACAAAACTTGACAGTATATGACATTGCCCTAGTCTAATTAATCAATGAGAAAATACACACTAGCCATTACCAAATGTATGAAAATTCACCAACATTTGATGAGAGGTACAAGTTATGTTCCACAGCACTGTGATACACACAACATCTGAAGTAGATTTAGTCCTTTGAAAAGTAGTCAAGGCTTATTGCTGTACCAAGTAGTAAAATGCAAAGAAATGATAAACGAGACACTAATTAGTGCAGTTTAATACAGATGTATAAAATTTAAGTGCCCAATTTACGTCCAGATATCCATTCCATGATCTGAAGAACTTACTTAGACAAAAATTGCTCCCAATCACTTTGAAAAAAGTCAAATTATGGAAAATGATTCAAGCTACACATATTGACATAAAACTAATAAAAAGGAACAACTTAACCCAAGTAATTTAAGAATTACATTTGTATGCAAAAATGCCACTGTTCAACACCATAAGCGATACTGTATCTACTAGCTAGGACTCAAGACTTGGTATATGCCAGGACTGTAACACTTGTGCCAACACTAGACCTACTGTGCTTAAAACAACAGAAACATTAAGTAATTGCAGCAACTGGATAATATATAAAACAAGTGAATTTTGTATTAAGCAAATACTTTAAGCTCTCTATAACATATTAACTGCGACCAATTTTTGACAAATGTGTTCCTTCTCATCGATTGTTATCCACACTTAGGACTGCACCCTCTATACACCAGTCAGTTTGCACCTACCCATAATAATAAATCTTGAAAAAAACAAAGATCTGATCACCTGTGTTTAACAAAGGAAATTTCAATTTCAGTCTGTCTTGAAGTTGGTTTGATAGTTGTTTCACAGTAAAATATTTATAACCCACAAAATTATTGGTTACCTACTCTGAACATTTCTGATTAATTATGCAAAGTAATATTGGTAGGATTAATGAAAACCAAGAAATCTAAGTACTATTCATTAATAGGATACAGCTTATATACACAAATTAAGACATTTACTTTTTGGAAGGCTTTAACATCTGATAAGCAATGATGAGTCCCATAACTGCATAAGTTGCCTTGGCCACCTGTAAAACAAATTAATTAAAGTTAAAACCTTTATATTTCTACTGTACTCTGTGATAAAAGCCAAAGTATTTATTGTGTGTCAGGTCCCCACCTCCCCTTACGAACTGCAGGTTCTTACTTTACATGGGAAAATATATATATATATATATATATATATATATATATATATATATATATATATATATATATATATATATATATATATATATATATATATATATATATATTTTCTTTTTCTTACTATAACTCAGGATGCAAGAATCACAAACAAAACTTTCCCTCATTCTGTATTTTCACCCTTTCTAACTGCCAAGTACAGTATACATGCACTGTATATGCTCTGCTATCAAATTTAAAACAAAATCTGTGTAATACAATCAAGCTTATACATGATTAACCTCTTCAGACAAGTTTTACTACACTAGGTATTCATAGCCTGTCACCAAAATGCAAGAAAATCCACAAAAACGGTTTCACTTTCTACATCCCCCACCCCCATAAGGGTCACTGATTCACACTCAGTTGGGGGGAAATAAAAATAGTACCAGCCACAGTGCCTCATTCCGGCCTAATGGCTTAGTATGCAGTGTATTGTATTCACACTGCCCATAACAGGCACTCAAGCCCACGAGGCCCTCTTCACTTTTCATTGAATATAAATATCTTGGGTACTGTATTATATCTGGGACCCATTATGCATGGGTTCTAGTTCTATTAAATAGAATAAGGTTGGGTAGATTAGGTTAGGGACCAGGATGACAAACTGATTTAACCAGTCATTTTCCTCCCCACTGTTATCATTAATTACCTCCTTTAAGCCAACATAAGTAGCATTAACAAAGCTGGGAAGTGTCATTAAATTATTAAGCAGTGATGTTAACATGTAATATGGATGGAACCATGAGAGAAAATTCTATAAACTATATTGTACCATAAGAAATCACAGTATCCCCACTTAATTTAGATCTTCCATTGTTTTTAGTAACAATTATTTGTGGTCTGTTCTAAAGTCTATCGTTCCGAGTATAGAATTAAATCCCTAGTTCTTCATTTAGTTGGGTTCCAAATTATACCTCATGCCATTTGAACAAAGGGCTGCCAATCTTGTGTCAACAACTTACATTAGCTCTGCCTGCCAAGGTAGATCCATTGAAATAGCGGGACAAGCCCTTGAACTGTGAGCTGTTTACTGGGTCACCTGCCATTTTCTTATCTGAAAAATTAACAAGGTCTCATTGTACAGTACTGTGGTAAACCATAAAATATATCGATTAATATTATTAAATATTCACAATTTATTCATTTAAGTTACCAAATTAACACAAAGCATTTCCACCAGAAGGAAAAAAGGAATACCCTAGATTAATCACCTTAATAGTGCCATTACCATGCCCCTACTATCATCATTAGAGGATATCTGGGAAGGCCTTTCCCTTTTTGTAGAACCTATACCTACCTAAATTACAGTACAATAATTCCAAATCCCAGAGGACCACTAGATGGACCTTCCTACCACAAGTGTGCTTTTCCTGCAGCATATTACTGTACCTCCAAAAGTTTAAAACACATTTCCAATACAGTACTGTATGTATTCACAATTTTCGGCAAATGGGTGCCATGGTGAACAGATAAGAACTTGAAACTTATGTCTAATATAGACTACCTGTGTAATAATGTTAAAACTGGGCATGGTGGCTAATCTAATGACAAAGATCAAACAAGGTTGCTCAACTAATTTTTTAACCAGATAAATTGTACCAGACTTCTTCACTAAAACTTTTTAGCACTGACCATCTTGCTCAACCTTTGAAAACCCTGTGTTATCTAAACTCTGACCTTACAAATTATGATTCCACATCCTCAAATTGCTTACAAGTCACCAAGACTACTAGATCTCCCACTAATTAAAAATTAAAATAACCCATTCTGATCATGAATTAGATGTCTTCTATTACAGTACTGTATGGCAATTACATCATTCACTAACTTTACAAGAAATCAAACTTGCACAGATTATTGACTAACACCAAAAGTAACTTACTATCAGCCAAGTGTTAGTTTCCCATAATTTTGTTTAAAAGGATTTAAAGAATTAACCAATATTGCAGTTTTAGTAATTCTTCCCACTACAGTAATGTGTATAATCAACAGTATATATATATATATATATATATTAAATTTATCGAATTGTTTAAAATTTCAAGGTGCTAATATTATTAACACTGTACTGTAATTGTTAATTATGAAGTTTAATTTACCACCAAGTTTACAAGACTATTAACAATGTTCTTATTTTATTTATTTTTTATTTGAGTCTTTCACATATTGTTTAAGCAAGATGATTGCAGGCGTTATTAACAATGTTTTAATTTTTATTTTCGTCTTTAATAAATTGTTTTAGTGATTTTGATTATTTTCTATCCCAAGCAAGTTATTTTCGCATATATATTGAGGGAAATGAACGCGGTGACGAAATAGGCATGGCTTGATCATTAATATATAGTGAAGATATTATTAACTTAGTCAGTCAGTCAGCCAACAGGAACAATTAAAATATATTTAATCGTCGCCCAAAGATAACTGAAGCCATTATTACTCATCAATACTCCAGTAACATTTTGACATATCGATCACCATTCATCAGATGTCGTATTACTTTATCATATTAATCCACATCCATCATTAAACTACAGGAAATATCTCACCTCTCCTGAGCTCGGTCGTCTGGGAGTGGAGTCAGATCAGCTGTAGTTTACAACAGGCAATGAAGCGATGGAAAACCGGCTCTTATTGGTTGACTCTTGAAACACTTGCCTCAACCACCAATCGTGAAGCGTCTTTCATTTCGTTTAGGAGTCAACCGGTGTCTTGCAAAATGGTTCTTTATTCTGTAATCTACACAATATTCTATCAATTATTTAGTAATAAATGTAAAGCCTGCATTAAATATCTATAGTAAGAGTTTTCTTTCGAATATAAAACATTATAATCTATATATAAAACATAAGTTACATAATGTGTTTCTTTGCTGCCTTTAACTTCTTTAAGATATATTTATTAAATCTGATTATGATAATTATAGAGATTTTATTTACACTATCTCAGAATTCCACTTAGTATTAACGGGTTAGTTTTTTTTTTAATTAATTGGGGATAAACGTGTCTGAAGAGAGCGTAAATGTTAAATAAAAAAGTGACGGAGTTGAGCAGACATAAAAAGAGGGAAAGATCATAAAGTTCAAGAAAAAACTAATATTTTACAAAAGAAGTTACCAAATATTTCCTGGTCTTTTAGGATCTATTGAAAGGTGTCAGCAATACTCTCCACTACCCACAATGTTTACCAACAAGAAAGCTGGCTGTTGATTGGTTAAGCCTTTCAGTATTGCCAGACAAGAACGGGCGGTGATTGGTAGAAGCAGTCCAGTGTTGCCAGCACGGAGACGCCCACGGAGTAAACATGTCACACATCCAGTACCTCGACGAGCTGGTGAAGGAATATTTATTATTTAGGGGATTTAGTCACACTCTCAGGTCACTCGACAATGAACTGAAGATTGACAAAGACAAAGGATTCCGGGTAAGTCACTAAGCTGGGTAAAACACGTGGTCTTTATTGTGTATCAACAAGTGAGGTTGGCAATGTTGTATATGCATGACTGGCTCTTGTTTATGGTGATGTTAGTGTTGAAGATTCATCTGTCATAGTGGCCATAACACACTAGTTATTGGGAGAATATTGAGTAACCAGAGTAGAAAGAGATAGACTCAGTCAAAGATTAGGTAAAATCATATTCAGCTGTACAGAGATTGCACTAAAACTTTTACTCACCCTCAGAATGTATAGACAAAGGAGTGTGTTTAAAATTCGTCTGTCTTGTAAACTTATTAAAATATATAAAGTAATAGTCTGGAACACCGACTTGTGAGGAAGAATACCTTTGGGGAAAAATATGAGAAAAAATAATATTATTTGTTGCTTTTAGAACAGTGGTTCTTAACCTTTATACTACCACGCCCCCTCTAGGAATTGGTCCTTCCCTCCACGCCCTTAGGAACCTTTATACTACCACGCCCCCTCTAGGAATTGGTCCTTCCCTCCACGCCCCCCCCTGCATCTATGAAAAAAATTCTCTCCCAGATTTTAAAGAAAAATGAAAAATATTGTGTTTTTAGTCTTTTTATTGAGTATAAATTAGTGAGATACTTGATATTGCATCTTAGCTACTAGATCTTGAATGCGTTGTTGAATGCCAGAGAGTTCACAACGTAAATCCCCTTTCTACGTTCAGCCCGTTTCTGTACTTGGTCTTGACAGCAACGAGCGTGGAAATGCAGCTTCACAAAGATACGTGGATCCGAACATAGTTAGAATCCGAAGAGCCTGATGTGAGATCAGAGGGTAAACAGTAAGGTACTTGACCCAGAACGTCTCAAGATCCAGTTCTTTGAAGTCTTCCTTAGCTGTGGAGTTGAACTTCAACTCAAGAAACTCCTCTTGCACTTTATCCGAAACATCAGCTACTTCACATTGAAATGGGTTCCTGATGAATTTCCAGGCTTCACGCTCCTCATCTATCTCTGGGAAGTATCTCATGAATTCTGTTTTCAAGTCAGTTAGATGAGTGATTATTTGTTTCTTTTACTCAGAATCAAGGTTACCGTGAATGAGAGCAGAATCCAAGTTACTAAAACTGGCTGTATTTCCCTGCTGAATTCGACACTTCCAGAGGTCGAGTTTGGCCATGAAGGTTCGAATGGTGTCGTGGTGCATGATGATGTTGATGTTTTTCCCTTGTAGTTTAAGGTTGAGAGCATTCAACGCTTCGAAGATGTCCACCAGGTAAGCTAGAGATAGCTGAAAGCCTTCAGACTGGAACTTGTCATGGAGATCTGCCTTCTGCTTTGAATCAAGAAATATTGCTACTTCTTCTCATAGTTCATAAAGCCGTCCAAGCATGTTCCCCTTTGATAGCCATCGTACGTTCGTGTGAAAAAGCAAGGTTTCATGTTCAGATTCCATATCCTTACACAGCAGACGACTGTTTAAGGCTCCAGCTTTGATAAAGTTGACTACCTTGATAGCCACGTTCAGGACATCCCTCATTTCAGCAGGTAAAGTTCTGGATACTAAGGATTCACGATGAAGTATGCAGTGTGTACCTACAACAGACGGATTTTTTTCTTTAACCATTGTAATGAATCCAGACTGCAGACCAAGCATGGCTGGAGCTCTATCAGTGCACACCCCTACTAGCGAGTCCCACGAAAGTTGGTTTTCCTGAAAGAAGTTTGATACATCATGAAAAATAGCTGCTGCTGTTGTACAACTTTCCATGGGGTGACAGTACAGCATTTCCTCTTTTACACTGTTGCCTGACACGAAACGAGCATACATCAGTAGCTGAGAACACTGAGCGATGTCAGTCGTTTCGTCACACTGGATGGCAAAAACAGGAGACTCTCTTACTTGGTCGAGAATTTGATCTTTGATGTCTTGAGACAATACATTGATCCTTCCCTTGACTGTATCGTTTAATAGTGAAATTTGGGAAAGCTTGTTTGCACTATCCTTCCCCAGAACGAGTTCTGCTGCACGGAGTATGCTTGGTTTTATGAGAAACTCTCCGATGTTACGGCTCTTCTTGCTCTTTGCAATCAACATGGCGATCTCATAGGAAGCCTCAACAACCTTTGAAGTTTGTTGCCGAAATGCCCCACTGCCGTCCAACTTAACTTGCTTCAAGGAGTGTCTTTTTGTTTCAAAGAATGCCTTGGGCTTGTCAGCTAGAGCAGGATGTGTTGTCCTCAAGTGGCGTTCCAAGCGTGAGGGCCGCATTCCATCATTGCTCAGAGTCTTGTAACATATCACACACTGAGGGACCTCTGTGTCACCCTTTTGGAGAGACACGAATCCAAATCGAATATATTCGTCAAGATACTTCCGCTTCTTTGCACTCATTGCGAATTATTTGATGTGCAGTGGACAACACAAATCTGTGAACAAAACATAAGGCACGTGTAAGGTAAGATAAACATCACCACGTGCTCATGAACACCACAACATCATGATAATCACAACCACATGATCAATAACAAACATATGATCGTAAAGTTCGTAAACACTACAAGTGACTACAATCATACATGATCATAAACACCACCATATCATTAACAAACATCACATGATCATAAACACCACATGATTATTAACAAACATCAATGATCACAACATGATCATAAACACCACCATATCATTAACAAACATCACATGATCATAAACACCACATGATTATTAACAAACATCAATGATCACAACATGATCATAAGCACCACTACATGATCATAAACACCACCACATAATTATTAAGTAAATATTAACAAACACCACAACATTATAGTAAACACATCATGATCATAAACACATGATTATTAAGAAACAAATCAATATCATCATAAATACAACTTTACCATAACCACCTGTTACCACCACATGATTTTAAGCACCGCCAACTTCTGATAAAATACAAACGGAATTCAAAACCTGCGAATAACAAACAGAGCAACACATGCGTGTTCACAATCCACCAATAAACTTATGGCTGCTTACTATTTTTAGGTAAATATAACAACTGGAATAAAACATACCTCAACAGCCTTAACTGAATAAATGTGAGAGAAGAGGAATTATTGCCACGGAGGTGTGCAGAAGATTGGGAGAGAACGGGGCTCACCAGTCACCAACGAGCCCCATGGGTTTCGAGGGATAGGGAGGGGTGGTCAATAAGTACAGAAAATGGTAAGCCCTAAGTAAAAAAAGTAGCCTATAGAAAACTAAAGTTATAAGGCGATACTTTTGCATTTTTTCATAAACTTCTCAATATTAGCCCACGCTCTTGTTAAGAGAATAAAACTATTATTATAATTAGAGAAATTCCTACTTTTTCCCTAGGGCTTGCGCCCCCCCCCCCCTCCCCCTGGAAATTACTGATGCCCCCCTAGGGGGGCGCGCCCCCCAGGTTAAGAACCACTGCTTTAGAATATAGAAGGAAACACAGGTAGAGGAATTGCAATTCTCTTAGAAATGGGTTATTATTCGGTTTAGCACATCTTCAAATCACATAGAAGCACTTACTTTCAGGCATTTCCTACCTCATTTATACATTCCTCAACCCCTGAAGCCTCTTGGAAACATGTTTCTTTCAGAAAAATCGCACAAGTGAGGAACGCTTAAAAAATTAGATAAATAAATCTCCACCCGCCATTTCTTGTCCTACCACGAGCTCTCTGGAGCTGTGAGGCGTGTCACATTACCTACCTCCGCAGGGGTAAGGGTCCCTTGTAAGGGTTAGGTGAGGTTAGGTTAGGTTAAGGTAGGTTAATTTAGTGAAAGTTATGGGTCTAGATGTTTGGATGTATTTGGATGTATTTTGTTCATATCTTACCCTCGTTTTTGATGGAAAATAGCCGTTTTTGATCAAGGATAACTGAAATCTTTTTTTTTTTTTAAACGACGCTTTTCCCATGGAAACGAAGGTCAGATCTGAACAAAACACATCAAAATATATCAGAAATCAAACTTCTCGTGAAAAAATTCGAGGGTGTGCAAAAACGAATAATTACAGTACCTAGAGATGTTGTATGGATGATGGTACGTAATGAAAATGGTACAACTTCTTCCTGGATTTTTATTAATTTTTTAAATTTTTCTCAGTGATCATAAATGACCTGTAGTGAGCAGGACATGAAAAAAAGGGAAATTTTGGGGTAAATACAGCAATAAAACCCTGATCATATGGCAGTAATAAACCATCTAAGTGCTCTGTAGGCAAAGGAAAATTATTTACCATAAATATTCAGTCAATATATCTTCCGTGGCTTCGCATATTGTTGTCTCCTCGTATACTATAGATTTTTATTTTGGTCGTTGGAATGATTAAAAGTAACAATGGAAGCTCTCATGGGGTTTTTTATTTCTATAAATATTATCTTGCCTTTTCGTTTGTTTTCAGTATTATAGATTTTAATTTTCTGGTATTTGTGTTTATAGCTTGTGCAAATCCCCTTGTTTTCTCTATTTGCACAATTGGTTTTTTAACGTATTCTGTGTATAAAGGATGAGATTCGTATTATGGTTTTGGATACATTTTCAATTTCACCTGAGTAGTGTTGCATTCTAAGTGAACTTTATGTTCCCTTGCTTATTGTTCTTTTCAAGGGGGACAGACTGAGGATTCTGTCCTTGGATAGGTTCAGAGACAAACTCACCATCTTGTATGTTAACTATGTAGTACTGTACAGTAATGGCATCCTGTGCGGGTTCTTCTTTGTCTTATTGCATGTTATCTGTGCCTGTAGAGGATGAAGACCGTCTCCAAGAGTTCATCTGTCAACGTGGACTAGTTGGAATGACGTGCAAATGTTCAAAATGTGGCAGAGAACTGACAGTGAAGAAGAAATATGTGCTTCAGTGTAAAAACCAATAAATGTAAAATTACAGAATGCCGCTTAAAGAAAGTTGCCTTCATTGATAGCTATCAAAGTAAGTTTTTTCTGCTTAATATGCCGGGGGGTCTGGGGGGGGCAGAGCCCCCTGGTTAGGAAGTTTGGTTGGTTAGATTAGGTTCTGTGCATTTTTGTATAATTTTTATTACTTGCTATCATCCAAACGACGTGTGGAAAGAATGAACAAGATCAAACAACTGCTTCTGGTGTTTGCCGTTTCCTCTGCCATTACAGTACCATATATATGGTTTGTGTACGCATGTACGCCATAGGTGTATTTTCCTGCTCCATTTTAGACCATTTCAGAATATTTCTACTCTGTCCAATGGAGAACGAATTTACACTGGTTTCATTCGGTACTCTCTTCCTATTAGTTGGGCAGATGAGTAGGAGGACCATCAGCAACAGAGTTAACAACCGGACCACGATTCTTAACCTCTCATTTGCACAGAAATTACGATTGATATAAATACAGTATGTTTAAATTTTTTTGCTGAATTTTTTATTAGTAAAATCATATGAATGCCGCGGTGGGCATAAAATAATTACAGTATTCAAATAGCGACTTCAAAGGATCCCTAAAAAAGGTCCTCCTTATTAAATTTTAACAACTTATTTGCAAGTAAACTAGACTACCTTTTGATATTTGATGCTGAAATTACAGTTCACAACAACAAATGGATAAATATTTTCTATATAACGTATCGCCAACTATCCTACTATGCTTTTACTAATATTTATTAAAAATTCTTAATACACTGACCATATCATTTGGGCAGCCATTTTTGGTTGAGGTTGATACTGGTCAGAGGCAGCGCTTCGCCTTCATTTCCCAACTTTGCCACTGTGCATCATGGAAAGTGCACACCGGTCTGAGTGGGACAAGTCTTTGAGCAGGACCTTGTTAGGCTTGCAAAGACTGGTGTAATTGTGTGACGGAAGAATGCTGCAACACTGGTTAGTACCAATTGAGACTGGTAAAATTGCCACTGCAAATTGCATCTCGTGTTTACACTTCTATTGGCAAATGCTTCCCAACAACTTTTTCACATCTTACATAACCAAACCAGTAATAGTTGACAACAGAGCTCTGTCAAAAGGAGTAACGTTAAGAAAAATTATATTGATGAAACTTGTTCTTACAGCTTGAATATCCCAAAAAAATGTTGGAGAAAGTGCAACCCTAAAATAAGACACCACCATAATTCTTGTTCTTGTAACAGATCCTGAGTAAACTTTAGAATTTAGTAAGATTCGAGAAGAGTTCTGCTAACTTATAATTATAGTTACAGTACTGGAACAAGAAACTTTTTATAAAAGAAGTTGTTAATGATTGTTTTATATTGTTTTAGGAGTTGAAATACAATTAAATTTTGAAAGGGAACAATTATGTAGTCGTCAGATTATGAAGACTTTACACGTGGCACTCTGCAGCTCAGTACATCTTTGTGGTGTGGATTAACATACTCTTTTTCTCTTCTTTGTTTCTTTTTTGCCCCCAGGCCCCATTGTGGGCTATTCCCAATAAAAAAAGAATAGGTTTGGGTAAAGATGAAATTTGACTATTTTTAGCAATATGGTGGTTAGATGCTTTATACAGTACTTGTTTTTGTAAAAAGAAGTTTTAAATCAAGTTTATATTATATATTTTTCTTATTAATTTTTGCAGGTGGATCGACTGGTTGACCAAGTGCTGAGTAGCATCCAAACATATGACCTAATAGGACTTCGTGAGTTGTGGGCACATTTAGACAGAAGAATCTTTGCCCGTCTCCCTCATACACTATTGCCTTGTGAGTTCTGCACATGAGAACTTAAATATTTTGCCATTACAGTATTTATATTTGATCGATAAAGGAAGGAGGGGATATTAGATATAATTTTTTTAAACCATTAAGTGCTACCCTGTACAGTATACACTATAGTATAGGAGGTATAGGGTTTTTTTGTGAGTCAGTAATACTGTAGGTTAGTGATCACTGAATTAATTGTGAGATCTAAATTTTAAGTTCTTTTTAGACCTGTAGTTACCGGCATATCTTTTTGGAGAATGTATTTTCATATAGATTTTTTTTTCCAAAGCTATAAACTGAAAATTGTTGTTTAACACTGTTGTGTGTTTATTGTGCTGAGAAGAAACATTTTTAATACTGTATTTAATTGCCACCATGCTTCTCAGGTAGTATTTAGGTTATATAATTTGGTAAAATTCTTATTTATTTGTCTTGTGAGGTGAGGTAACTTATTGTATGTTATGTTAAGTAGCTGACATGTAAAGAACTGGAACATCTTGTTAGCAGTCACTGAATTCTTCAACAACATTGATCGTGTTTAAGCTTCACAAGACACAACATATGAGGTGCTCTGCGTCAGAAGGGGTTGAGGCGACACCCCAGCCAAAATGCGTTTTTTTATGGATATCACTACTTTCACCCTTCCTCTACATGTAACCCTCTAGCTAGAATAGAAATATTGTAGAAAGTCCTTCAAAAATAAGGTGTGATTTCGCCTCAGGCCTGGAGCTATGTATCTGGATGTGCGCTCAGTTCAAGAAAGTGGCAACATCCCGTTCAGAGCGAGAGGAGCGCAAGCCAATCACAATGGATTTCCCCTTGCTACATCACAGCTCCTCGGCCTCCTCCTTAGTTTTGGCGTGTATTTTAGTATCAGGAGGTTCAGTGTACGTTCTACTGCTATTTTTGATAACTTTTCGGCGTAACATTGACATTATTCGTGTTCCACAGGTGTGAGAAGTGCTGTGTAATATTTGCCCAATATTAGAGCTAGATTCGAGTGAGGCCAAGCCTTCTGGTGTGGGTTCAGGAGCCCATTATTCCTGAGTGTGTGTTTCACGCTAGAGCTCACGTGGACATCCCAGTAATGCTTGGTGATTGTGATTTTGGCGGTGAATTTCGTGTTGATTATGCTGATGCAAGTGCTACTGGCGATGGTGCAGGTGACGTGCATGAGAATGTTAGTAATGAGCTACTTGGTGATGTTGGGGAGACTAGTGTTGGTGGAGCACCACGTAATGCAGATTACAGGGGTCAGGAGCGTACCCCCCAAGGACTTGTAGAAAAAAAAAGGCAGGACGAGAGAGCGTAGGGTTGATGAGTGGGCAAAGGAGGTTGCCAAGCTTAAACAGAATTTGGGTGATGAAAGTGAGCCTGACCCAACGAATGCTAGTGAAAGTGAGCCCAGTCTTATAGTGAAACTGAACTGTTGCCGGCATCAATAATCAAGGATTTAGTGTGTGTGGCAATTTTTAGAGAGTGCAGAGAAAGACTTTGATCAGTACGTGATTGATTATGACGAGGCCATTAAAGTTTTATGCACTCCTCAGGATTTATGTAACTTCAAGTAGCTACAATCTTTAGGTATAATAAAACAAAGGAACTAAACAAAGTAAGATTGTAATACTATTGTCATAATACTGTTTTTACCAAAGATTATGCAAACTTTCTCCTCCTTTGTATTCGTATGTTAATTACATTGGGGGAGGAGGGAAGAGGTTAATGGTGGGGAGAGGATTAGTGTAGTGGTGTTTCCTTATTATTACACACTATTATACTTAACAATATTATAAATCTTTGGCTAATAATAGGGACGGAAAGATAAATACTGATAGGCAAATGAGTTTTTTATTGTTATTTCATTTGGGGGGGGTGTAAAATGAGTGTTGTTTTTGGTGATCATTAACTTGTTTTACAGTATTAGCCCACAATAGTACCAAGATAATTATGCAAAAAAACGCCATTATTGTTGGTTCGAAGATCAAACAACTGTACATCACTGGTAGTTATTCTCATTCAATTCGTGATAAAATAATAATTATTCACAGTACTAACTTCCAGTTTTTATAGTTCACTAGGAGAGGGATTGAGCTGCACGAAAAAAAAAATCCTAGCTTAAAAAACCCAAAAAGTTATGGTTGTTTGAACTTCAAAAAACTTATAAACGCATTTTTCTCAGTTTTTTTTAATTTGGTGCTTCACCCCCTTCTGACGTGGAATGCCTCATATGACAAAATTATTAATTATTATAAGTTGCCTGTGGTGTAAATTAATATTACTTCAATAAATAAAATCTTAAGTCAGTTAAGTGCACACTGCCAGTTTGTAAGGTTTACAAAATTGCATGTTAGACCTATTGGAAATACTGTGTAGTGACTGTCAATATCTAAAGCTATGTGGGGTCCCACATTTGTCAGTGATACATATTAGTGGATTTTCTTGGAGGACACCATAGTAGAACATATTTTATAAGACAAAAGAAAGATTGAATGAGGAAAAGTCTGTGGTGCTCTTAGAGTCCAGCCACTCTGCACCATACTGTACAGTACTGTACAGGTACAGTAGTAGGAAAGGGGAAAATTGAAAAAAATGGGGGGATATTGAATTTTCAAAGTGACATATAATTTTGTAACTGCAGTAGTCATAATATGTTCAGGAAAATCAGTTCACTCCTGAATTATTGCAGGTGTGCGGAAGCTGGAGACAAGTATCCTGCGGCTCTATGTTATCAACACAATCCAGACCAACAAACCAGACAAACTGGTTGAGTTTTTTGAGAAGATGGCACCAGACCTACAGAGTCAGTCAGAGTGGAGAGAATGGTTCAGTAAGTTTGGTTTATTTTCTTCATTTGTTTCAAGATTTATTAGTTTTATGGATGTGGCAGTAAGTTGTTAGAAATTTCATAATACAGTAGTTTGTGGTTTGTTAAGTTTTCATAATTCCTTATACTGTACACTCATCAAGTTACTATATGTTGCTGCAGTAAATGTCTGTGTGCATAATGATAATACCTCTTAACTAAAATCATCACACAAGTTTACACTTGGTTTGGCATGTACAGTACAGTCAACAGTAGAAGTTTGTCCTGGACCAACCTGCATTGTGTGAGGCAGGTGATCTTATAATACTGTATGAAGAAGAGTTGGCACACATGGTTGGGACATACCTCTGCTGGTGACTGTACATAGACAATGCAGGCATACAGTTCAGGGTGTATAGGCAAAGCAGGTGTATACTGTTCATAGACTGGAGGCATACAATTTCCAGTGTACAGTACCTAGACAGTGCAGGTATACAACCATAGTAAATGAGAAAGAAAGTTGGCCATTATTGCCAACAAAGCCATCAGATGCTTATTTCTAGTAGAGTCCTTTGCTTAGGCTTGGTTACTAATCAGTAATGCAGTAGTTTTTCTTCAGGAGTAAAAATAAATTTTTTTGATAAATATGACAAGCAATACAATTGCGCTTGGACTATCCGAGGCTGATGGATTACTTCAACAATAAATTATTTTGTGGTTAATAATGTTCCTGAAATGTAGCTAAATAGGTAGTACTACAGTAATACTGTATGTAAACACCATATTGAAAACAGAAAAGAAGGATATGTTCCATAATTTATTTACCAAGCCTTAGTGATATATTTATGGTCCATTTTTGTTACCTCTACAAGATTGCTTGGACAAGTTTTGGGATTCTTATAATCCTTACAGATAAAAAAAATAATAAGACAAATATTCTACACTTCAGTTTGTGAACCTCATAAATAATTTAGTTTAATCCTTAGGTGGCACAGATATGATTTATTAACTTTCTTTTTAACATTGCAGTTCTGCCATATCTGAAAGGGGTGGAAGAAAACCCATCATTCGCAATGTATTTTACACGACAATGGCAAGACACGCTCTTGGTATCCCTTCATAATTTCTTGGCAGTTGTCTTCCAGGTGGGTTGGGTCTTAACTTATTTTAAGTTTTCTCGGTGGGACTTGGTTAATTGTAAGTCTCCCAGGATGGACTTTGCATGACCCTTTGGATGCGTATTTCATCATACAGTATTTAATTTCCAAGCTGTATTCCCAAGGAGTGTCAGTTCTCCAGTAAAATATGAAAATGGTAATTGATCTATCATTTTTTTTAAGGCAAAATTTCCATATCTGATATTAACCCTTCCATTGTAGCTGTATAATTATTAGGCCCTATGTGGGAGGTTGTTTATGTTATTTAAACTTTATAAATAAATAGAGTAGTCACTCCTTATCACAACATAGGTGGTTTGTGCAATAGTAGGCATTCTGGTGCAAGGATAACCTTATAAAAAGTTTGTAATACCTTTAGAAACCAGTCACAGGAAGGCCAGTACACTAACTACCTCAGAGACCATGACTGTTAAACTTATCACTTTGATCTACTCTGTGATTGGGTGATAGTATGTCACACTACCATCACTAGACTGTATAAAGGAGAGGAAGGTGACAAGGCTTTTACTCCTAGGACAGACATATAAGTGTGGATAATTGAATATTAGCTGTAAGAAAATGACTTGTTTAGTGCAGAGGTAGCCAAGATAGTTTGTGAAGAAGTGGATGTTGAAATGGGAATCAATTGAAATTTAGTGTGTTGATATAAATTGAAAAATTAATGAATTGAGGAATGATTATTTATAAGATGTGTTACTGTATTATGAAAGGGGCTTCTGATAATTTGGTATAGTTCTGATGAAGAGTAAAGTGTTATATGAAGATAAATACTGTATGAGCTTTTTAATTCTATGGTAGTACAGTACTGTATATACTGCACCATATATTTAGATAAGTGGGTATGTAAATAGATTGGTAGATGGATTGATTGATTGATAGGTAGATACATTATATGAATATGTTTCAGAAATATTCTTTTCATGTATTGACAGAGTATTGAATTGCCAACTTTAGCTAGCTACCGTGATGAAGCCTCCAAGATTGCCAGACTTCAGGAAGAGAATGAACTTTTGCGAGTGCGTCTGGCAGCACTTACCACATCAGACCAGCCAACCCTTGAACTTCTGACTATCCCAGACCCTCCACCTCCACAGCACCTTATGGATGACTTCTATAATATTGCACAGTGAGCTTATTCATACATGGTGAAAAAGTACATGAGGGCAGATGATAGTTATTATTGTAACTTTATTTCAAACTGAGCTGAGTATATTATCTGTACAGTCGGTTATTTAGAGTAAATGATCATCAGTGTGATAGAAGGTATAGTTGTGTTGTATCAAATAGAATGGTTGTACCATATTTAATTATTTTCATGTCCTGTGCTCAGCCTTAATTAACCATTTCTATTTCATTACACAATACAGGGGCAGAGCCAGGAATATCAAGGAGGGGGGAGGGGGGGTCCAAGAAGTTGTGGGTGAGGGAACATGGCGAGCACAGCAAGCCCACCCAGCTGGAAGGACGCTGTAAGCCCCCCACAATTGTCTTCTACAATCTGACCAATGTCATTGGCATTTTGAAGCCATTTTGAAACTATGTGCCCTTAATATTGGAAATATTCTGAGGTCAATATTAATTATTTTTTATGATATAAATATGCTTGAGTACAATACTGCATTAAAGATAGCGTATTGGAATTTTCTGATGAAAAGAGGGGTGTCCTGACCCCCAGGAACCCCCCCCCCCCTGCAATATGATACAATAATCTCTGAATATAAAGTGGGAACTAGGCCCTGTCAACATCATATTAATCCAAATTGTTTTATACACACTTTATTTGTACTTAGAAGCAATACAGTACTGTATTACAGTATAATAACCTTTGGGATAACTGGTTGGGAAAATAAGCTTTGTACAGGTATCTTTCGAGATGAGAATGGGTTAGGTTCCCCCCAAAAAAACATTCGTCAGGTGAATTTACGTATCATGAATAGATAAACTTTTGGGAAAATTGGGTTCGGTTCCCCAACGATAAAAATACCCCAATATCATACCCCCAAAACACAAAATCGGTTCACAAAGAAGAACAAAACCTACCTAACTAATGGTAAATAGTACACAACTACTCTAATTTACAATATAAAACATGAAAAAAATAATAAAATACTGTTTAACTTTGGTATATCACCTTATGAGAGGGCAGTCTGGGCTCACCACCATAAAGGGGTGAGCAGGGGTGGGCTAAGTAAGGGCCTTACTCTGTGCATCTCTTCACAAGATGGCCTCGTCAGCTGATTCCCGGCGCTCATTTCTCAGAAAAAGACTTCTTTAACAATTATTCCACTCTATACAAACGATGTAATTTAGAAATAAAGAAAATATAATATAAAACTATAAAATAAGAGAAATGAAGAACATGGGTGTATATGTGTGAGAAGAGAATGTATGTGTAGGTGGTGGGTTATAATTATGTCTCCGACTCACCAGCCCTGCCGCTGCATTTATTGTTACTTGTAATGAAAATAGAAAAGTTGTCGAAAAATCATTGCAATACTCTAATATGGCTTAGAAATAAATAAAGTATGATATAAAACTATAGAATAGGAAAATGAAGAGCATGGGTATGTACAGTATGTGTGAGAAGTGAATGTGTATTTGTAATGAAAGTTGTAGAAAAATCAATACAATATGCCAATGTGGCTGAGAAATATGGGAAATATATTATAAAACTATAAAATAAGAAAAATGAAGAGTGTATATGAGGCGCTCCACATTACAGGGGGGTGAAGCGCCAAATTTATAAAGCGGAGAAAAACGCGTTTAAAGTTTTTCGCAGTTCAAACAACCATAACTATGTTGTTTTTTAAGCTAGGGGGTTCATTTTTTTATTGTGCAGCTCAATCCCTCTCCTAGCGAACAGTAAAAACGAGAAGTTAGTACTGTGAATAGTTATTATTTTATCATGAGTTGAATAAGAATAACTACCCGTGATGTACAGTTGTTTGAGCTTCAAACCAACAATAATCGTGTTTTTCTGCAAAATTTTCTTTTTACTATTGTGGGCTAATACTGTAAAACAAGTTAATGATCACCAAAAACAACACTCATCTTACACCTCCCCCCAAAATAATAATAACAATAAAAAACTCATTTGCCTATCAGTATTTATCTTTCCGTCCCCTTTATTAGCCAAAGATTTATAATATTGTTCAGTGTAATAGGGTGTAATAATAAGGAAACACCACTACACTCATCCCCCCCCCCCACCATTAACCTCTACCCCACCCATGTAATTAACATACGAATACAAAGGCGGAGAAAGTTTGCATATTCTTGGGTAAAAACGGTACCATGATAATAGTATTACAATCTTACTTTGTTTAGTTTTTCGTTTTATTATCCCTGACGATCGTAGTAAGTTGAAGTTATGTAGCACTTGCATCACCATCATCTCCACTAAATTCACCACCATAATCACTATCATCAAGCATGGCTATCCCAGCCACATGCTCAGGATTTAGGGCTCCTGAACCCACACCAGAAGGCCTGGCCTCACTCGAATCTTGCTCTAAATTCGGCCAGACATTGCATAGCATTCTCACACCCGTGGAACACGAATAACATCAATGTTATGCCGAAAAGTATGGGCACGCGGGTTGGCTGAGGAGCTGTGATGTAGCAAGGGAAATCCATTGTGATTGACTGACTCAAGGGGTATGGTCCGTGGAACGCACGCTGTCATTGGCTCGCGCTCCTCTCACTGAACGGGATGTGACCACCTTTACTTACTGAGCACACAGCCAGATATGTAGCTATGTAGCTCCCGGCCTGAGGAGAAATGACATCCTATTTTTGAAGGACTTTCAACCATATTTCTAGTCAACCTAGGGGTTACATCCAACACCAACATGTAAAGGAAGGGTAAAAATAGTGATCTCCAGCAAAAAAGTATTTTGCCCAGGGTGGTGCTTTACCCCCTTGGAGTGCGGAGCGCCTCATATGGGAAGTAACAAGTAAATGTGTTGTGAGGCTGTGGGTTACTGGGCTATACTGTGGACACAGTATGCTCTGTTCACAGTTCCCTACCAGACAGGCCTACCAGACTCACTTAAACTTTTCACTGTATTTTCATTCCACCTTCAGCCTCTATGGTCATTTTTTCCACATAAATGCAAATTATAGGTACACTCGAAAATCATAATCTCTAGCTCACCTGGGTCGGTGCTGGAGGTTAGCACAGTGTCCTTTCTGGACGGGGGCCCACTCTAACTATCACGAGGTAACACACGCACGAACACACACAGTCATAGTATGGCTGTATAGATGATATTATGTAAAACTATTGTATATGGCATTTTATACTCTGCATTATCTTCATTATATATGAACACGAAGAAAAAATACCATTGGTTGTAGTTACGAAAGTATGAATGGAAATAAACACTTCCAAACCACCCAGTGAATCCACACAACGTGTGTGTGTGCCAGACCACGATGCTTCCCATCATTCGCATAACTATATGAAAAATCGTGTTTAATTTAACTAAATATTTCAAAAACCTTAAATTACATGTGGATCAGTCACTCCTCATTTGTCACACTTATAGTGTAATACTTTGACCATCCCACCTGGGCACATGGAGGCCCACAGTAACTCTCACGGGGCAACATACGCACGAACACGCGAGTTATGGTATGAACCCTTCCAGGCTTCACTATCATTATCATGTTATGTTCATCGTGCTCTGTATCTTGGTAACTAGTCATAGTATCAATACATGACAGTGTTATTAGTATAATATTGTAACTTTTACCCTACAGTTATTGTTGTAAATCATGGACAGGAAGGATACATAAATTGTAATATCAAGTGTATGGTTCGCTCAAAGCCACCCCAAGTCAGACAACGCGTCACACAAAGTTACACTGTGTTTGTGTGTGTGTGTGTGTTCTGTAACATTAAGCTTCATCCTTAGTAGGTAAGATGTTTCATAAAGAGGCTTCTCCCATTCGTCATTGTGAGCATCGTCCCAGAGCACATTGTTTCCATCAAAACCATGGTTCATCCTTATTTCCCTTCTTCCATGTAACAATATCCTTATGGCTAAGTGCTTGCTTTTCATTTCTTTATTTACGAAAATAACGTGGATCAGTTACTCGTTATTTAATACATACACGCACTTAGAGCATCAAGATTGTTTTGTAGGCATGACTATTGGTAAATTGAAACCCCAAAAATATTTTTCACATTTATTATGCATAAACATTGTAAGCATATCTATGTGATTATTTTAGTACTGTATATAACATATATTTAATGTCTGGACAGATTCCCAAGAGTTATGCATATTAATGCATAGATTTTGTAAGCATATTTATGCGAAGTAACGTAAAACCACATAGGTAGTAAAATACCTGGACAAATTCCCAAGAGTTAGGAAACGAAGTCTATGTAGCCCCAACGAGGTTACACCAGAGAGCTAACTCCCCCGCCACCCCCTACAAGGCACCGTCTTGGGCGGAGATTTAATTCTTGACCACAGGTTAATACCGTGTCCAACCTCCATCTGCTGCTATAACTTCATGCAATCTGGTGGGCATGGAATCTACCAGATTGCTGCAGATGTTCGGCCTCCTCCTTATTCCCTCCCACGCATTATGTGCGTGTCTCCTCACCGCCTCACATTTTTTCTCCTCAACATCCCATTCAACAACCATATGCGCCCAAAGATTTTCTATTGGATTACAATCGGCTCCTTTAGGGGGCCAGTCCAATAGAATAATCTGCGGGTGCGCCTCAAACCAATGCTTGACTGCCTGACTTGTATGTATTGGACTGCGGTCTTGCACCATACATATAGGCTGTGGGTCTGGGATGGCATATGAGTTGCTGGGAGGATGGTTAGTAGTCCTGTTGAACTGGCAGGTAGACAAAATAGAAAACTCACAGCCAAACTGTAAGAAAACCCATGGACAATGAGACATTAGTAAAATATACTAGGTCATTTTAGCGCGTGCACACACATTATATACAGACCTATTGGTCCTTGCGAGGCTGTTTGGTTATGCTATGCTAACTAGTTTGCTAGGGTGAGGGAAAGGATGTTGCCCCGTGAGAGTTACTGTGGGCCTCCATGTGCCCAGGTGGGATGGTCAAAGTATTACACTATAAGTGTGTCAAATGAGGAGTGACTGATCCAGATGTAATTTAAGGTTTTTGAAATATGCAGTTAAATTAAACATGATTTTTCATATAGTTACGCGAATGATGGGAAATAAAAGATATAGATGGGGTGTGGTGGAAACATCGTGGTCTGGCCACAAGCTCTGTAAACGTTGTGTGGATTCACTGGGTGGTTTGGAAGTGTTTATTTCCATTCATACTTTTGTAACTACAACCTATGGTAATTTTTCTTCGTGTTCATATATATTGAAGATAATGCAGAGTATAAAATGCCATATACAATAGTTTTACATAATATCATCTATACAGCCTTACTATGACTGTGTGTGTTCGTGCGTGTGTTGCCTCGTGATAGTTAGAGTGGGCCCCCGTCCAGAAAGGACACTGTGCTAACCTCCAGCACTGACCCAGGTGAGCTAGAGAATATGGTTTCCGAGTGTACAGTGTCTGAACAGTTTTTCACAGAAGTACAGTGCAGTATTGTAATGCATTCAGATGACAATATTTAATGATACTAAAAGATATATGGCATACATGAAGTGCTGCTTCCCACAACAAGATGATTTCCTGAACTGTATGTTTATACTGTACCTTCTGGTAATGGATAATGCTTTTGGCTGGTGCCTCGGCTTATTCTGGGGCCTTGGTGAAGGCTCGCTACAACAAATAATTTTATACTGTACAGTACTTGCCATTTTTTATACCTGTACCTCAAGAAAGTGCCACAATTTATTTCCTAAATTATATCAAATATTAAACATCAGCACATTACAGGTATATCCAGGAATTACCATATTGTGATTTATATTTGTTCTTGTGCTCTAATGTAGTGACTATGAGGTACATTATTAGATCTTAAAGGAAGAATTACCTTAGTGTGTGAAGTGTGTAGGGGTGAGATGTCAAAGGATATGGAGGGATAATTAAGGTTGGACACAGAGTAAACATGTAGTGGTTGACTTTGATTATAAATATTATAAATTTTGGTGTCTTTGGATTAAGTAAGATTCTGAGGATGAATGTATGAAGCAATATATTTAATTAATTTCTCAGGGAAGCTCCATCATCAGACAATCAGCTGAAATCTCTAAAGACAATCCTCTTTGGCTTGGGAGGGGGTCTACCCACATCTCCAATTCTAGGTCGTCGGGGGGCAGGCGGGGCTGTCACAGCATCCCCACAACCCAGCCCCTCGGCTGGTCCCGCAACACCATCTAGCAACCAAGTAGGTTATATTTTCAGTGTGACCAAAATGTACTAACACTGTTACTATCTTTTCTCAGGTTGGTTCTTCTGATCACTGTTTCGGTTTTGCATCTTGCGGTTACTTCTTCTTTTTCACATCGTCTCCTTCCCAGTCACATACTGTAATATGGCATTATAATGGAGTTGACTAAGTTACCAATACAGTGGTCCCTTGGTTAACGAGCACAATTCGTTCTAGAAGGTTGCTCATTAACCGAAAAACTCGTTAACCGAAACCATTGTTTCAATGGGTTTTTGGGTAATTGGTTCCAGCTCACCGAAAATTGCCTAAAATCAACAAAAAATGTAGTAAAGCACACTTACTTTGAAGTGTGTATGTAGAAGGCTTCTGGATGATGATGATGATGGGAATTAGAATGGAGGTGGAGGAGAAGGGAGAAGAGAAGGCATTGGGGTGGAAGAGAAGTCACCCCATGGTGCCATTTCACCCATAAAATTTTAGTTTTCTTGGTGTAATTCAAGATTATTTTCTTTAAATCAACACTGCACTGCATTATATATTGTCAATAAGTAAAATAAAATTCACCAATAATTTGCTTGGAAACACAGAAAAAAGCATTTAGTTGAAGAGAGTCTCAAGCAAGATGTTACCTCCACTGAAAAGACACAGACTGATGCCTGTATGGTATGTTGACAGGCTGTTTGGTGTGCAAAAAACTAGCTTCCTATACTTCAATTATGTTCAATAACTGTTAAAATTACTAAAAAATTGAATATAAAACTTTTAAAATTATTGAATAGTACAAACTTCTTGATATTTATTAAAATAGTAAAGAATTTAAGCCCTAGAACCGATTACTGTATTGGTGGACTAATACTACAGCTGGTGGACCGCCAAATGCAAGCCAAAACATGTTTAGGTGCGTTCGTTAAAAACTCGTTAATTGCGGGCTTGCTCGTTAACTGAAGTTAAGAATCTTATGGAAGGTAATTCGTTAACCGAGGCGCTCGTTAACCGAGGATCACTGTAGTTTTAGGGAGCTTTACTCCCATCCCCCAGGACCTCAACATGGACCCATATGTTTCTGTTGGATTTTTTTTTACAAACCGTTCAAATTGGCAAAGAAATCTCTCTTTATACTATACAGTACAGTATTATGATTAGATTTTATATTATAGTGCAGTAATGATGTTTCCATTGTGTTTTAATTCTTCCTTTGTATTGTTTGTGCATAGTCACAGAATAATTGTAATTTAGATAGTTCATGATGTATCTTACACTACAAGAAGTACTACTTTGTTGAGAGGTACTGTCACAAACAGAAGTGTGCCCTCCATTGTGAAATTGAATCATGGGAATGAGTCTCCAAACTTACTTACCCTGAGTGCCATCTGGTGCGGTTGTGCTGTTTTATCTCATTTGCAGTTGATGCTGCTTCAGTTTGGGAGTTAGCAAACTTTTGACCCCTACTGTACAATACAAGTGTTTTGATGAGATTTTGAGTAATATTGAAAATCTGAAAAAAATGCAATTGGACATAGTTATTGATGTTTGCAATGTTAAGTGTTTATATAAATGTAAGAAGAGGAAATATAGTGTGCTTCATGTTAGGAAATAGTCTGCTTGGAGATTTTCAACATCATCCATCAGAAATTCTGTTATCAGCAGCCAGGATACTTAATCTATCCTGTCCTTTTATTTGCCTCTCACAATGTATGTGACACAGTATGTATTCTGATAGTTAGCAGACACTGGTGCTGTGCTGTGCTGTGCTGTGCTGTACAGTTTGTTATAGATGAATTTGTATTTTTCAGGGTCCTTCCTCTTCATCAGGTCATCCAGTGGTGAGAAGAACTTCCTCACAAGCCCCAGCAGAGGAAAAGAAGAGGATGCGGTCATCAAGTGTTGCAAGCATGTCCTCTAGGTAAGGTTAAAGTGATTCTTTTTTAGTGGGAAGTACAGTACAGCAAAATCCCACTTTAACAAAATACATTTTTTCTGAAAATCTCTTCTCTCAGGAACAAGAAATATATTTTTAAAATTGATCATATCCGAAAAAAATACAGTACATAAATTTGATAACTCGGCACATATGGGGCTCTGGCCTTGCCTCGTTATCCCAAATTCCTAAAAAAATACAACAATAAAATATTATTGACCCAGATATGTGTACATGTAATTATTAATGGAGAAAAAGTAACACTTACCAGCACTGCAGGCAAAGAATATAGCATCATATTATGAGACACAGAAGCATGGTAGGTGACAGAGGTATGGCAGGTGACACAGAGGCATGGTAGGTGACACAGGCATGGTAGGTGACACAGAGGAATGGTAGGTGACATAGAGGTGATGCAGGTGGCCAGATATGCCAAGATTTTCCCAGATAATTTTATATATCTCTGCATTTCCCGAGTTATACTACAGTAATACATTCCGAGACCATATCCACACTGAGTTATATGAAATTCAGAGTTATCAAATGCCAAGTAATCGAGGGTTTACTGTATGTGAATTTAGCACTAATCGTCTCTTGTCTCTTAGACCAGCTTGATGTTAGCACTTTGTTGCATTACTCCACTTCAACTGACTACCTGTTCCATCCAAAAATTAGTCACTCCTTTTATTTATCCCAGCCGTGTGTGACTTTGATAATAGTTATTGTTGGTAAGTATTAAATAATGTAACTGATAATGATGCTATGAATTTTTTCTCTTGAACAGTCGTAATAGCGGTGAACACATTCCCGTCAAAAGACTGGTCCAGTCAACAGTCTCATCTACGCGACCCTCTCGCTCTCCAACAAAGATCAGACCACAGGACGAATCTACCTCATCGACGAAGACTGATATAACCAGTGACAAAGGATCATTTTTATTGCTTGGTCAGGTAAGATATACAGTAACCTCGTATTATTTCATGAGAGGGACTGAAAACATTTGCGAATTAGTTGAATCACAATACTGTACCTTTATACGAGTTATGTAATTCAATACAAGGTAAGGGGTTATGGACCAGAGGCCCCAAAAATTTACCAAACAATGCTTAAAATTATTATTTATTTACTACACACAAATAAGATATATGCACTGTATACAGCATTGTGGTACACCATGGAAAAATAAAGAGAAATGTACAAAATAGAAGAAAATTGCACAAAAATAAGAAGAAAATAACAAAATACAGTACATCATATCTACAGTATTTGGTTCGACCCATCAACCCACAGAATTGATGGTAATACTGAATAATGTAATGGTTATGCACATTAACCAGCAACTTGAAGAAATTTCTTTGTAGAAGATAAGTGTTTTCTTGCCTCATGAAAAGCTCAAAAAGTGGGAGGGAAAAAGTTTTTCTTAATACTTTAATAATTGTCTCCGTAGATGAAACTAAGTGTCTTAGATGTCAACATTGGGGCTGTTGTGTCATACAATACAGCATTGCATATGTTCGGGACGGTATCCTCACAGTCACTACCCACTACTTAGAGTATAGAAGATAAATTCATTGTAATTATCAAGAAATGATATCTAAATCAAGCATTGGTCATTAATCTGTTGCTTTATTACTTACGATAAACTAAACATTACGTCAGTGACTGGCGACGGACTACACTTTTCATTATTTTCTCAAATTACTGTTTTTGTGTTTGTTATTGTTTCTAATTTCTGTTGTGTAAATGCTATACCTGAGAACCTGCATTGTTTTACAAAGAATTAATATTGATTTAATGAAACTCAATGAAAATTTTGCCAAAATAATAGTGTATCACTAAAAACTTCCCATATTTTGGATCTTTTCAAGAGGTATAGAAAATTTTCCTCAAGTTGTAGAGCTGTCATCCAGTGTTGCTGATTCAGCATACAACTGACTCAGCTCCTGACACCTTAAGTCTGTATGTGTCAAAATGAAACCAAGGTTTTTTTAGCACACTCAGGAAAATAAAAAATATATATACAGTATTTACAGATTTCCTGTCCCTTTACAATTTTATCTTCACTCTTTCTTTCAAAGCTGTGTCAACTTATGCCACCCCTGTATTTAATCATGCAGTGTAACTTATCAAATTTAAGGAAGTTGTGAAGTCAACTCTAATGTTGTTGTGAATTTGCTGTCACTAGCTGGCATGCCATTTCATGAACAAATGAGCTTGAATTTTCATTGTCTCAGCCTAAATCATTAGACCACACAGTGCAGCTGTATTGTACATCATATTCAGAGCTTCCTTCATCCCTTTTTCTAACTTTTAACATCAGGTAAAGCATTTAAAATGTTTTTTCTTTTTAATGTTCCTGACTCTTACTCCTTTCCTTACCTTTTCCTCTACTTTTTCTTCAAATCTTACTCCTCCTCACGCTTCTTATTACTGCTTCCTCTTTTTCTTCCTTCTCTTCTTACATTTTTTACTCTTAGCATTTCTTCTTATTGCTCTCTTCCTTTCTTCTAACTCTTACTATTTCTTTTTATTCCTGCTATGATTTCTTAATAAATATATACTGTATATATATATATATATATATATATATATATATATATATATATATATATATATATATATATATATATATATATATATATATATATATATATATATATATATATATACTGTATATATATATATTAAACAGTAACACAGACTTTGTTTTATTACTGCTTATTCTTCTTGATACTTTCAAGTTAATGATATCTCTAGTCAACTGTTTTGTTGGTCACTCACTCCAGTCATAAGTTGGGCTGTGATACTGTACGTACATTATTTCTTCCTGGAAAATCAGATTTGTTTATTGCACTGTAGAACATCAAAAGAGTTTTCTGGAAGCAACCCATGCAAAAAACAAAAAGTACCTGTATTTATATTGTTCAAGATTTTAAAACCTAAGATATTCTGTAAATATGCATTTATTGTGAAACCAATATTGTATTCTTAATTCCTTATATAGTTCCTTGATTCCAGGAGGGGTATTATGAACATCGCGCTGTTGTGACACACGCCGTATTTAACCCTTCGGGGACCCTGGTGGCCTCGGCAGACATTGATGGCGTGGTAAAACTCTGGTCACCCTCCCCTTTTCCTAAGTAAGTTACAAGATCAATTTAACATTTGTCTTCACCTGGGAAACAATATAATGCTCACACTGAGAGCACCCCTCCTGTAAGCAGAATCACAGGAACAGTGGACTGGCCTTATGAACCACACTAGTTCCCCCTAATAGCCTCATGGGCTGGCAGATGCATCTCTACAGGTGCAATTTGCAACTGGAGTGCTCCATACAATGTTTTTTAAATGGAAAAATTGTTGCTGTTACCGACGCAACTTATGTCAAGAGACTGCGAGGGGGTGAGATTTCCAACCATGGCCAGTGACCCAGTGACTTAAACTTAAACTACTGTCCATGTCAATAGACGATGCATGCTTCACTGCTATCCACATTAATTGAGGCGCCTTACAAAAAAAGGGCGAGTACGCCAAAAGCTAGTTTTGAGGTAATAGCTGTTAAAAATTGGGAACTTACATTTTTCATAACTCATTCAAATATTAATAGATTTACATCATTTATGTATTATTCTGTTTGTTTGACTTATTTGATGACATGGAACAGTCAATAGAGGTAATAATTATAATAACATTCATCAATGCTTTTCACTGATGCCATGGACACTGTAGAAGGCAGGGAGGCATAACTCATATGTAGAATTATCAAACAAAGCATATATTGTACAGTCATGCGCCAGTTAACGTCCGACCGAACAACGTCCAATCGCATATACGTCCGTGCCCCCAAAATTTCCGTGACGCCTGCTGGACCACCACTTCACGACCCCCTGACGGAGACACGATGATCCTCCCCATACTGATCAGATATTATGTGTTAAAGGAATATGCTTCCTATCTTAGGCTATTATAAACATTTGCCTCCAGGTGTAATGTTAACCTACATCTATTGAGGATAAAATCTTTCACCTACAAATTGACAATAACACATTTGTTGTAATCAGACATATCTAGTTGCCTCAACATTTGCAACCCCAGTTGCAATTGGGGTTGCAATTTCAAATTCTGTGGCATTACTAAGTATAGTGAAGTCTCTGGTGCACTCTAAGATTAAGAGAGAAAACGGAGGACTCAGGCGTCCTGATGTGAGAGAAAACGGACTCGTGTGATGGGGGACTAAATAAAAAAAGCATAGCTACATGTTTTGTGGACTACAGTATTAAGCGTACCCTTTTCATCACTTTGTAATAAACCTAGCCTAATGGGTATAAATGGTCGTAAAATGGGAAACTTGGGGTTGGGTCTTGGGTGCCTGGAACCAATTAGAATAAATCCCATAGGTTCTGTACTTTCGTTATCGGCTGGGTCCCAATTAGGCGCGATAACCAAGGGATGACTGTACTGTACTGTAAATACTTGTGACACTGGCCAGTTGCTTCTGGTGTTATGGTACAGGGGTACCAAGTGACAGCACTAGGATCCCGCTTCCTCTATCAAGGAATAAACAATTAAAATTTAAATTGAAAAAAAAAAAACATTCAAATAATGGGACCTAGCGAACCTAAATGGCCCTAGAGCGGGCACAGTCACGTATGCATCGCTGGAGTGCACATGTACTAATTTGATTCCGGTACTAAGATTGTTATGTCTAGTGCGAATTACAACATGTTTATATTCAAATAAATCAGTATCTTACAAGAATCCCAGCTATGTTAATTATATTCTCCTAGGTCATATCACTGGCATTTTAAAATGAGAGAAGCTTGGTAGGACTGTTAAATAAACACACAGAGACCTTCGGCTCAAACTTATCACCTCAGCCCCCCACCCCCCCCAACCCCTTGCTGTGGCTGGCTCCGTCAGTCCCTCCTCCCCCCCCCCTCCAGCCTTTTAGGCTTACAGTTTTTATCTTGTATAATATCTCAGACTAAAGTTAGGAGATTATAATTTGCATTGCTGGAATCCTTGCAAGACAGCCAATAATTTGAATATAAACGTCATATATTTTGCTCAAGATAAAAATTGTTGTACATTAGTGTACTGTACTGTAGTACATTTCATAAAAAAGTTTTTCAACTGTATTTTTGGGTAGATTTACATAGATTTCTTACATTTATTTTCATCCATTTACATGCACACACCATACTAAAAGAAACGTAATAGAAATAAATAACCTTAGTGCAAAGCTGGAGTGCACATGTACTAATTTGATTATGGTACTAAAATTGTTTTGTCTAGTGCAAATTATAGCTGTTTATATTAAAATTAATCAGTATGTTACAAGAATCCCAGCAATGTTAATTATATTCACCCAGGTCATTTCACTGGCTTTTTATAAGAGAGAAGCTTAGTCACTTAAGAACTGATAAATATACACGCGTTAGACCTGGGCCTGTGCCAACTGTCAAACGTATTACCTCCCCTCCCCCCACGCCCCCTCGCACCCTCTCTCTCCCCCATCTGCCCGGCGTTGCTGGAATCCTTGTAAAAGTGAATAATTTTAATATAAACGTCATGTATTTTGCACAAGAGATAAAAATTAATCACCTGTATCACATTACAGTAGTGATTTAAGAGTAAAAGAGTATATGTTCTTATATAGTATTCCACATACATGTAAGTACAAATATAAAGTTTATGTGATGATCGGACAACGTCCATTTCGGTTAACGTCACGTTTCCAAGAACGTATCTAGGACTTTAACTGGCGCATGACTGTATTTAAAATGATGGAAAGTTCTGATGGGACAGTCACACACTTGGTAACAATTCACTTCCTGATAATGAACAACCATGGAGATGTAGGCATTCTGTGCAGTGTAGTCCTGGAGTGCCCATAATTTAGTGAAGATGCTGTGCAACTTGTCAATGCTTACCAGTAATGCACTTAAACATCCACAGGAACAGGGAGGAGGGGGATCCCAGCCTGTAGCTTTGTTTTGGTACTTACACCCCTCACCAATGTTCTATTTCATCTTGGCCACGGCTTTTTTCCACATGTCAGCATGTTCCCGCGTTAATGACTGTACACAGAACTCACCCTCCTACTCTCAGTGCTGGTAGAATGCATTAGGATGCCAAAAAAAATGGGTGAAAACAGCTAAGCATCCTGGTGCGAGAATCACGTGGGAGAAACTATAGCTGGATGTATAGATGTGTCACTCATTGGCCCACAGCTGTGCTTTGAGTTAGCCGCCCATTCATTGGTTGTCACGCTCACCCTTGATGCTGCGATAAACGAGAGTTGAAAGGACCCAACAGTAATGAAATGTGGTACATAAATAAGCTTCCGCTCACCCGGGAAGAAAGGCGCTTGTGGCGTAGCACATTATACCACATGAAAGAGCACAAGCTTGTCTTTCATAATCCATACAAACGGTAATTCATGATTCTGGCAAATTCGCTGTTTTCTTAAAATGTACTTGCAGGAAATAATTAGGGTTAGTTGAATTTCTGCAAACTATACAACATTCATTCCCATGCAAGATGTGTGTTTTGATGGAAAAGGAAGCCCTCCCATTAGCGGAATTCTTCCAATAGCAGACAGGGCTTGCGCAAATTAGTCCAGTAATGGGAGGGTTTACTTTTAGAAAAATTATCCATGTACAGTAATTACCAATACAATACTTAGTTCTTTATCTATTCTACAGAACCCACTGTGGTGTAGTGGTCAAGAGTGCTGTAACTGCTGTGGAGTGGCTGCCTCGGGGTGAACGATTCCTGCTCATCGCCACAAAAGCAGCTACTTTGCGTCTGTTTGACACTAGAGATAAAAAGACTGTTTGGGAAATTGGGCCTGACACATGTCCAGTTCTTAAGGACCAAAGGTAATGGAACATCATGTGTGACTTAAAATTATAAACCAGTGAGTTTAATGCATCATGTCAATTGTCATGTTAAATGTGAACCTTTAAAAGTGACCCCTGAATAATGCATGAAAATTCATATTTTTCCAACCTAGATAAATGTTTATTGATTGTGTAGCGGTCACCTTACAGGTTCTCAGTTGACTTGACACTGATGCTTTTTGGTTCCATAGATCCAATATTAACACCTATAAACACACAGACTCACAAATGGTATTAAACCACCTTTGAACCCCTGAAATGAACAGTATTAAACCACCTTTGAACCCCTGAAATGAACAGTATTAAACCACCTTTGAACCCCTGAAATGAACAGTATTAAACCACCTTTGAACCCCTGAAATGACCAGTATTAAACCACCTTTGAACCCCTGAAATGACCAGTATTAAACCACCTTTGAACCCCTGAAATGAACAATATTAAACCACCTCTGAAATGAACAGTATTAAACCACCTTTGAACCCCAGCTGATGGAGATATTACTGTATCTAAAATTTACTGACTATTGTTTTCTAACACATACTTGAATTTATTGCAACACACTAATTTATTCATGAGAGGAATTTCGAGTTAATTTCTTAATTACATATTTCACTAGGTGTTCCTTGGAGGTTTCTTATACATGACATTATTTAACCTAACTTAACATAATCTCACCCCCCCCTCTCCACCCAGAATCAACAGGGTGTTTAATTATCAGGTGAAATAAGCTAATCATTATGTGATCCTTATATTGGTTTTGAAATAATACAAGGAAATGCAGTGAATGATTTTTGTTTATTGTAGCAATGAAATTTTATCATTGGGTCATAGATCATCAAGTGCTATAATCATTCTAATAGTTGATTAATTAGGTACAGTAGTACCCCGATTTACGCGGTCAATTGAACCCACGGGGTACCGCGGAAAGTGAAAACCGCGTAAAGTGAACAACAGAACATATGGGATTAATTCCAATAGAGACTGGCCCGACCCCCCAAACTCCACTTTTTCCGACACAATACCTATGTTGTAGTAAAAATAACATCTTAATTTTATGATGGTATACACACACAATTAATATTTAAGAGAAATACAGTCGACAGGTTAATGTCCATTCAAATAATGGACTCAACTCCTCCCCCCCCCACCCTCTTCCCAGCTCACTGGCTCCTACCTCTCTGAGAAATGTTTGGGTGAAAACACTAGATTTAAACGTTTAGTAATAAATAGTATCTCGGACTAAAGTTAGGATAATATAATTGACATTTCTGGATTCCTTGCAGGTCAGGGAATATTTTGAATGTACAGTAGGCTCTCGCCAATAACGACTTCCACAATAACGTATTCGACAATAACGGTAAGTTACAATAGATACCCATTTTCGATAATAACATCTGGATTCTCTTGAATAACGGAGATTTTGTGGGAAGCGTCCGTGTGCATCAATGATAGCGTTTGTTTGCCGCCATATTGATGACGTAGTTGTCCTCTCCGCCTCACTCTCACACACACTCCACGGAATACAGCGCTGCATCCATGTGTGAGATTTTCGCCTCTATAACCAGTGGTTGCTAGGGTCGGTGATCAATAATGGCTTCCGCATTTTTGCCTGTGGGGGCTGGGGGAGGTGGTGGAGGGAGTGATTTGCCTCCTGAATGCCCGGGAACTTTTAAAGTGAATGAGAAAAAAAAAGACCCCAAAGCTAAGAGACAAAGCCACAAGAAGCGCGCCTACTCGGTCAAGGATAAAGAACAGATTGTTGAGCTCATTGAAAGTGGTGCACGGAACATTGTTATTGTGAGGAAATTGAACTGTCCTGAGTCTACAGTGCAAAATATTAAGGTAGTGATGGAAATGCGAGGCGAGCTATGAATGATAAAAGTGATTGAAACAGGTTGTCAGTGATAACAGAGCATTTTCTTTTGAAATGGTTAGCTTGTAGAATGAAAGACAGTGCAAGTCTTAGTGACCCTCAGATATGGAACAATCATCACGCCAAGCACCTCAAAAACTCCCCCAAGCTAAGTGTTATAATACTCAAACTCTTTATTTTGATGATTGAATAACAATTCTTTTTATTTCAGCAAACAAAAAGTGTTAGGAGGGCTTCTAAGGGGAAAAATTGGGTGAAATTATTGGGGCGGCGGCACCAATAAACCCTTTTTACGTGTATTTTAATGTTACACAAATAACGTTTTCGCTAATAACGGCATTTTTCAGGCACCTATTAAACGTTATTGGGGAGAGCCAACTGTAAACTTCATATATTTTGCTTAAAAGATAAAATATTTGCTTTGTGTAAACCAAATTATTACATTAGATCTAAAATTTGTATGTCTAATGCAAAATCCATGATGTTTATATCCAAAATGATATCATATTGTAAGAATTCCAGCAATGTAAATTATATTCTGGCCGAGTATTTTGTATGAATTTTATGAGCTAAAACAAATATCTTCAGTTAATAAAAAAAAAAATATTCTTCACGACACTATCTGTCAATCAAAGTACCCCACCTTGCCTCCCCCCCTCCTCACATCACGCCAGCTGGTAGGTCGGTCCCAACCCTCTCCCCCACCCCCCACCTTCCCTCTCTACCAGAAAAATGTTTGGGAGAAAACAGTATATTTACATTTTTAGTAATAAATAATACCTCAGACTAAAGTTAGGATAATATATTTGACATTTCTGGATTCCTTGCAGGTCAGGGAATATGTTGAATGTAAACTTCATACCCGTTATATTTTGCACAATAGATAAAATATTTGCTTTGTGTAAACCAAATTATTACATTAGATCTAAAATTTGTATGTCTAATGCAAAATCCATGATGTTTATATTCAAAATGATCATCATATTGTAAGAATTCCAGCAATGTAAATTATATTCTGGCCGGGTAATTTGTATGAATTTTATGAGCTAAATAAAAAATTACTGTATACTTCACCCGCGGAAAGTGAAAGTCCAGTTCTGGCGAGGTACCACGTAAATGAGAAATCCCGGAAAATGAAACCGCGTAAAGCGTAATACTGTATAGTAATTAGATATTATAATAAGATACAGTTCTATGGTAGATGTAGTCCCGTGAACTTTTCAGTTCTAGTTTATTGGCATCTATGTTCTGATTGCAGTTTGTCGGCTATCCTTGGTCAAATTGCCATACCTTTTACCATTGTTTGTATATTTGCACTCTCTAGGTACATTGGAAATTGTATACAGTATCTGCATTGTCAATATACATCCCAAACTAATTGTAAACTTGTACAGGTTGTACCTCTCTAGTCCGGCATTCTGTGGTCCGGAACGATTTTAGTTTGCCCAATAGGTAGATAGGCAGCTATTTATTTATTTATTTATTTTTTTACTTATCTGAATTATTATTATTATTACAGGAGTATTACATTTTTGCCCCTCAGGCTCCAATGTGGGTCAGTAACCTGTGCCCGGGTGGGCTAATCCCCGTAAAAAAACAACAACAACAAAGCCGCGGGAAATTAAGGTTTGTTTACATCCGGCAGTTCGGCTCTCTCTCTCTCTCTGTTTGTCTATACAGTACAGAGTACAACATTTAACCCTTCAATATATATGAACAGTAAATAAGCGTTGCTTTCATATTCTTATGTAGAGTATTGACGATGTGTTTTTACATGTGCTCACTTACATACGCGCAGTCTCACTTTTTTCTTTAACATTAACGGTTAGCTACTTATATTGTTCCATTTATTAACATTAAATAACATTACTTCAAACACCCATATTAATTTTTACATTAATTTTACTACAGCTACAACCAGGGTCTTATTTTCTTGTTTTATATGTAGAACCACTCAGTCACTGGTTTTGTAAACATTAACGAAAACACTGCCGGCAGCCGTCTCATCTCCTCGTGTGTTTTAATATTCCACGAATTATTAATGAATTGTATTGTTCATTTTGCACACACAAACAATAATTCAATAACTAAAATCAGAAACATTAATTGAAACATATATGAACAGTAAATAAGTGTTGCTTTCATATTCTTATGTAGAGTACCGGTAATGACGATATATTTTTCACGTGCGCACTTACATACGCACAGTCTCACTTTTTTTCTTTAACATTAATGGTTTGCTACTTTTATTGTTCTATTTATTAACATTAGATAACATTACTTAAAACAACCATATTAATTTTTTACATTAATTTTACTACAGCTACAACCAGGGTCTTATTTTCTTGTTTTATATGTAGAACCACTCAGTCACTGTTTTGTAATCCACAAAAACAATGCTGTCTCATTTCCTCGTGTGTTTAAAATATTCTACGTATTATTAATGAATTGTATTGCTCATTTTGCACACATAAACATTAATTCAATAAAAAAGACATTCAGTAATAAACAATAATGAATCTTTTGTACATAAGAGAAATGACGCTGTTTACACGATTGTGCACGTTGTCTGAACGTTGGCGGGCCGTTCAAACCCGTCGAAATTTGAGTTTCCGACATCAAAATTTTAAATTATGTAGTGTTCTTTTTGTGTGTCCAAATAAAAAATGTTGAATTAAAAACTCGCAAAATTTGAGAAGCTACTGTACGACATTTAACCTTTCAATATGTCTTCAAAGAGACCACAAAGCAGTGAAAGTGGTACTAACGTAAGCGCAAGTCACTATCTGTCCAGGAAAAGGGTGAATTTCCATGGTCTGGAAATTTCCATGGTCCGGCACCTGTCAGGTCCCGAGGTTGCCGGACTAGAGAGGTACAACCTGTACTATGATGATTTTACTGAATAAATATCTATCTATTTTGTTGTTTAATATATTGGTTTATTTACAGAATAATGGGAGTAAGGATGAGTCCGGGTGAGGGTAATGCGGTGGTGAGTGTTGCCCCTCGTGTGCGACCCCAGGGCACGTCAACACCCCCAGCACAGCCGGCTCTGCATACAATTGACATGAAAAGCCTCAAGGTGGAGGTATGTTAGCACTGAATTTAGAAATTTCATGAGATATTTAATTTAGGAAGTTTGGGTCAGGATTACTAGAAAGTTTGAGTCAGGATAATTAGGAATTTTGGACTAGTTTAAATAAAAATTTTTAGTCAAGATAATTTAAAAGTTTGAGTCAGGATAATTAGAAAGTTTTTGAGTCAGGATAATTCAAAAGTTTGAGTTGGGATAATTGGACTCTACCCAACATCTCAGATTTTCTCCAGGTACTCCACTTTCTTCATTTACCAACACTGAACAATAATAAAGGTCATAACAAAGAACAGACAGGTTGCCTGAATGGGAAGTAAGCTGACAGTGGAAATAATAAATTAAAAAATAAATGTCTAGCTCCGAAGTTACTGCAGTACATTACAGTACTGTTGCTGAGCAGGGGTGAATCCAAGGGGGGTCCTGGGAGTTTGGACCCCCCCCTTTTTTTTTCATCAGAAAATTTCAATACTTTTTCTTAATGCAGTATTGTACTCAGGCATTTTGTATAGTAAAAAATAATAAGTGTTGACCTCAGAATATCTCCTAATATCAAGTGCACATAGCCTCAAAATGCCCATGATATTAGTCAGATTTTAAGAGTTTTCTGAGGGAGTTTATAGCCCCCCCCCCCCACACACACACACCCACAAAAATAAAACAGCTGGGTGGGCTTGCTGTGCTCACCATGGTCCACCACCCACAGCTACTTGGACCTATCTCTTTTTATATTCGTGGATCCACCCCTGAGAAGTGTGGCAGCACTGTGCTGCAGCTGTAAGACATTACCGTTATGGGCATTTGTATGTAAAGTTTGAAGTGTGTTTTCATCTTTTTTATTGAAAAAACTATACCAATATGATTATTTTCTGCAGAGAGTAATATGAAAACAAATAATACTGTACTGTACTTATGTAAATGAATTGACACACATCATTTTAGCTTTGGGATTACTCTGTATATGTCTGCCAATACAGTGTAAGAGCTTCACTTCTGCTTCAGCCCAAGTAGACGAGCTGCCACTGAACTTCAGCCTTATATTTGGAATTTTTTTCTGTTTTGTTATTTTATGAATATTACTTTATTTTGTGGGTGATTATTTTTTGAATGTCATGAAATAGTGGTAAAATTGGGTCTGCGGTGAACTGTATAAGTACATTGCAGTTAAACATGATATCAATTGGAAGGGTTGCCAGAAACTATTTTTTCCTTAACATTGCTGTTAATTTGGAGTTCCCGGTTGATGGAATGCTGGATAAGAGAAGGTCAACCTATATCTTCACTAAACACAGAATGGAGAAGACCAATTTGGTCTAGAGGTGCAGGTGTCTTAAATGTGGAGGGGAGTAGAGCCAGGGGTAGGCCAAGAATGACATGGGGAGGGATTTTCAAAAATGACATCACAGCAGCAAGAGAGGCTGCTAGAGACTGTGCAGCATGGAGAGCTGCCATTATGTAATCATGGCTAACCCAATGCAAGAGATATACACATCCTTAAGTACAAAAAACAAGGAAAGGAACATTACAAAAATAGTTTTGTACAAAGCAAAAGCAGATGTACACTCGGTAAAAAAAACCTCCCGTACAGGTGGGGTCCGATGATTTTCCAACTGAACATTCTCATTGTCTCGCGAGGGTTGGTAGGCCTGAATGTGAGACATTTTGTACTTAATTTGGTAGGCCAAAATTAGATATTTCATTGACAATATTTTGTTACAATATGGCTGGAGAATGTCAGTATATCTAGATAAGGTAAACTGTATGTTATATTAAATATTCCACACACCATGAACTCCTGTACAGTAACCATGGAAGTGGATGAGTTGCCATACAGGAATGCATTATATGTTTGGCAGAATTAGTGGATATAGTAAAGGTATAAGATTATTTTACAACCGAATTTCGAATCTGTATTTGTATTGCTACTTCACTTTGGGCTAATGCCACATTATGTCATTCTTTATTCGTATTGGAAAATATACCATGCTATTCCGAAACATCTGAATAGCTCCACTGTTTCGCAAGCCATCATAATGGAACCCGGCCCACGACATTTTACCGTACGGTTGATAATTCTGGAAAGTCTAGTACTGGGTTTCGTTTCAGAGTGCCAATCACTTGACCAAACCCATACACGCGCAGGGCTACCAATGCGAGGAATGCCTCAAGGGCCTTTTTGAAACACTTCGTTTGTAGTGTCAGTTTGTTTCGCACAGGAATTGTAACGGTAGTTTTTTTACCAAGTGTACATACCAGTCTCCACATACCGTACTGTACATTGCTGGTCACTTATTCCTTTTGTATTGATAAACACATGTGTACAAAGTAGTTATAATTTTCTTTTTCTCATTTATTTTTCAGTTCTTTTGCTTTTGTGTCCTCAGAGCTCATACAGGATAGAAGGGGGTGTAGTCAATGGTTGTATCATGAATCACAATGGTGGTCTACTTGTGTGTGGCTGTAATGATGGTTCGATGAGGATCATTGACCTCCGTTGCCCTGATGTGATTGCTTCTTGGCCTGCACACCAGGGGGAGGTGTTTACTGTTCGACTTTCACCTCAAGAGAATAATATCTACACTATTGGGAGTGATAATAGAGTGAGTATAGCTTGAATTTACTACTATATGTTGAAAAAAAAGTAAAAAGAAGATAGGGAAAATATCTTGAACTACTAAATTTAAGAAGAGATAGACGTTGAATTACCCTAGTAAGTCATGGGATAATTAGAAGGGTATTGTTGTACATGGCATATCCGAGCCAGCCTGGTCAACTTGAGAATTTACTAACTAATTTTAAGAGATTGTAAGGAATATGTAATGAATGACACCATTGGGTGTTACTATAGCATGCGGTCCACAAAAATATCTAACTTAACCTATCCTAAATATCTTGTAGACTGCATGCTATAGTAGCACCCACCATTGTATATTTGTACCCTTTTGTGTATGTGTAGGCATCAATCATGTTCACTCACCAAAAACTTCTCGAACGCTATAACCACTATGCAATCTGAAAAATGAATGAAGAATCTGAAACCATTCCGAGATGACAAGCTCCATTTTGCTCATTCTCACATCCATCATGCCCAGGTGTTCGAGACGTTTTTGTTGAGAGTGTACATGCATATATATCTTATATGTCAAGTTTAATATTTTCAATAGTTTGCTTGTTGGAGCATGGCCCAGACTGGTGCGCGGGTAATGGATCATGTCCTCCATGAGCGAGCTGCTGGACCTTTCCTGGTGGGTGTTGGAGGAGTGGCTGGCTCAGGTCGTAGTGTACTTCTCCGTCCATATGGTCCGCTGTTTGCACTGCATCAGGATGGAGAACATGTACTAACTTGTTCATCCACTGGACCCATAGTATATAAGGTGAGGCGACGCAGCACGTGAGAAAAATCAATATCTTTTAATAGGTTTAAAATTTTGGTAATCGGATCTTTTTAAAAATCTTATGAATTATATATAATTTTTTATTTAGGTACATTAGTACAATATCATTTATTGTAAGCTAGAGTTGGTAACCATGTAAATCATCTTCCAATATTTTACCTTATATATATATATATATATATATATATATATATATATATATATATATATATATATATATATATATATATATATATATATATATATATATATATATATATATATATATATATATATATATATATATATATATATATATATATATATCCACAATACGTGGATAAGATAAATCTTGATAAAATCACACGAAAATGGAAACAACGGAGTACCTTAGCTTCGCTTTATTCAAGACATCTTCAGAGGCAACTGGATTACATGGACAGAGAGAGGCTTAAATATGGTGACCTAAAACATGAGGTCAGGTCATAATGATGACATCCACTAATCCCCACACCAACACACACGTGAGGAGCTTAAGAGAAGGGTGGTGACGTGACTAGTCAGGTCAGGTAAAAATAAGGACCCACAAAATCTAGATGTATAATAGTTATTTTGTGGGTCCTATATATATATATATATATATATATATATATATATATATATATATATATATATATATATATATATATATATATATATATATATATATATATATATATATATATATATTATTTCCTCACACTGATTCATTCATAAAGGGATTCCGATGTTGCCACATGTTTGGAAAGGCCACGGAAGGGTGGAACACTATACATGTGGGCAACTGTACAAGAGCGCCTTTGGCAGCAACCAAAACATACTCTACTACAGGAACAAATACAGTAATATATAAATCAGATAATGTAACCCAATCCTACTCTCTCAGGTTGGTGAAAGCAGCCTAGAGCAGGCACTGGTCGTGGGAGGTCACAAGTCACCAATAGTAACAGTGGACTGGTGTAATGCCCTCCAATGTGGAACCTCGGTGGCAGCTGCACTTGACGGTTCTGTCACAGTCGCCACGTTAATGCATCAATGAAGATTAAATTTGATAAATAATAGGAACCACATACAAATGCTTCCTGTGTAAAGGCACACACACACACACACACATGGGTGTTAACAAACTTCACACAAGTGATGCATACAAAAACTCTAAAAGGCTGCTCACTCTATTGTGCAGTACACACACGAACCCTTACAAATGCACAATAGTTATTCTTGAAACACACATTCATGCTTGCAAGTAATTCATGTTACAAAAATGTTAATCCACATCAACTACTGTAAACTGATTTCAGTACAAGTCAATAGACATTAATTTTTGTATTATTGCAGTAGTTTTATAAATGGTTACATCTAATAGGGAAGAGGAAGCCATCAGAAATTTAATCAAAGAATGAAATATTTATCTGTAAGTGTTTGTACTTTGTTACAATGTTCACTTTATATAAGCTTCAAGAATGTGTCAAGCTTTACTACATTTCTACAAAACTGCTACAAAGTTTGCAGACCTGCATTGATTGACTGTGTTACAAAGAGTTGGTAGCTGCAACACAGGATTGGGAAGGGCACTTTTGTTTCATAATATCACTGTTTATGGAGTAGGCAGAGTTGATGAAATTTTGAATCTTTGATACTGTCTGAAGGTAAGTTTATTCCTAATAGCGCTGAACAATTTATGGATTGGGTAAGTAATACATGGTACTTAATAGTGTGGGAAGGTACTTTTGAAGGTGCTATAGCATTTGTAAACAGTTCATAATTTGCCACTGGTGTATAGCAAGAAACAGAATATCACATGTATCAATACATTAACTCAGCACCTCAAATCCTGTCTATTTGTATAAAATTTTGTAAATAATTATTGCTATGAATATTTGTTTTCCATGGTAGATTACTGAAGATAAATTTGTAAATATTGATTTCTAGGCTACCTGAGATATTTAGTATATATTTATAATTATTAAGTACATAATTATTTATACAGTATATAAATGCATATTAAGCACTTTCTTTTCATTTAAAATGCTATGGGTGTAGCATAACTTCGCATCTGCATCCAGACATACAAAATATTGGTCGACTGTTATAATCTTGATATTTGACTGACTTGTGTACTGCCACTATACTCCATCCTTTACTTGAACAGAACATGCAACTTTTTTTTGTGATATATACAAGATATTCAATGTGTTACTCACATATCGATCTCAGTTTATCAATAATTCTGTAAGAAAATGTATGTCTGGTATGGAGAAAAAAATTCACGTGTTGATCATCTGCATACAGTATTTTGAAGAAATGTTTGTTAACATTATTCCCTGTAAAGATTATGGCCAATAAAATGATAAGCTCCGAGTTTTGTAATTTTTAACCTTACTCATCCTACTAAATACAGTATCTTTCCAATCAAAAAGTACATACTGTAGCATGAGTTATGGTCAACCTTATCAAATATACAGGGTAATAATAATAGAATAACAGAACCAGCACATGTTAGGTGCTTAATATTTGTGGAAATTCTCTAATTCTTTAAGATGTTATGAAACAAACTCTTTTATTAAAAAAAAAAAAAAAACACGTTTTATTTCCACAGCTGATGATCTACTAGCAGATACCAGATTTTGAAACGGTCATATACAAATTTGTTAGATTTCCGTATGTATATTTATTTAAATCAATACTGTATAGGAATGAAAATAACAATTGAACTGTACAGTACAGTGAACCCTAACTTTACGCGGTCAATTGAACCCATGGCGGAGAGCATAAAGTGAGAAACGCGTAAAGTGAACAACATAACATATGGGATTAATTGAAATACAGACCGGGCCGACCCCCAAACTCCACTTTTTCAGACACAATACCTACGTTGTAGTAAAAATAACTTCTTAATTTTATGATGGTATGCACACACAATTAATAATTAAGAGAAATATCAATAATATTAGGTTTTTTAACACTTACATTAGGAGAAAAGATGGCTGGGCACACGGGGATGGGGGGTTGGTTCCGAGGCAGAGGGCAGATTATTGGCCCTCACCTGTATCACTTGTATCATCCACCACAGAGGCTTGCAGGGCCTCTTTGTCAAACCCCTCAAAGTCCATATCCTCACTATCACTGACTTGGGCCGGCTGTGGTGGGTGGCGGGTGAAGAACTCGGTAATGTTTTGATGACTGGGTGACCTTGTGCGCACCCTGCTCGCGTCGCTCTCCGTGTAAAAGGGTACACACACCCAGAAAGTGAGCATTCCGTGTTCGGCAGGGTACCGCGTAAACGCGTAAAGTGAGACCGCGTAAAGCGAGGGTTGACTGTATTAATATATTAATACCTTACCAAAGGAGATCTTTCCAGATAGTAAAACAAATTATTCCGCTCATGTTATTTTGGTCTATATCACATAACAGTTTACATTAATAATCTCTGCTTAGTGCTTACATCTTGTTTCTTAGAACTCTTCACTGTGTGATATAAAACAATTGTAACTATTTATTCACTTGCTTTGAATCACAATAAAATAAATCTGAGTCTGTTGACATTTGAGTTTAATGTAATTGAATATACAGTTAATTAAAAAATGTTGCTTTTACTTTTACTTTTATCCTCTTCGCCACTGATCGGCTTGTTAGCCGCTTGGGCGATCGGTCACGTCTCTTTTCCTTTATATTCTTCACCAAAAGGTCGGCTCGCTAGCCGCCCGGGCGATCGGTCACGTCTCTGTCACGCACTGTTGGCAAATACTGGGCATGCACCGGCTCCTGAATGTACCTGAACCCGCTCCAGTGTTGGTCAAGTCTTCTCTTGAAAGAGCTCACACTCGGTGCCGTCACAACACTCTCTGGTAGATTGTTCCAAGAGTTTACAACCCTCACTCCGAAAAAGTTTGCCCTCACGGTTTTCCGGACTTGCGGCTTCTTCAATCTTGAGCTGTGACCCCTTGTGGGGCGAGCGTCCGCCAGCTCCAAGTAAGGACACTCAACTGAGTAGTGCCCCTGAGATGCTTATAAACCTCAACTAGGTCCCCCCTTGCCCGTCTGTAGTATAAGCTAGGCAAGTTCAGGCGCTCCAATCTCTCAGGGTAGCTGAGATGCCGAAGTGCAGGCACCAGTTTGGTGGCCCTCCTTTGAACATTTTCAACCAACTGACAGTCCCTAGCATATCTTGGGGACCAGATGGGGTGACAGTACTCCAGATGGGGAAGCACTTCACTCCTGAAGATCGTCACGAGGGACGGACCGTCTAGATATCTGAACGACCTTCTTATAAGACCCAATAATTTATTTGCCTGATTTACCTTCTTCTCACAATGGCCCGAGAACTTCAGCTCATTGTCAACATACACACCTAGGTCCTTCTCACACACAGTCTCAACTAGTACATTTTCTTCATCCCGTTGGGACATATGGTACGCCTCCTTACCGTTGGTACGCCCCAGGTGCATCCTCTTACACTTCGTGACATTGAATCTCAGCAGCCATTCCTTCGACCATTCCTGGAGCCCACAGAGGTCCTTCTGCAGCTCTTCACAGTCCGCTTGGTTCTTAATTTCCCGAAATAACTTGGCGTCATCGGCAAACATTTGTATGGAGGAGTGTACAACGTCAGGCATATCATTTATGAAACAAACAACTATGTGCTAATAAATGGAGTCTGTTCAGATTATTGTAATTAATGTAAATAATTAAAGTATTCTACATTTTCAGCTGTGACAACGGTACGAGTAGCAGGTAGCACATGGTAAATACCACACACTATGTGGTAGCACATGTAAAATACCACACACCAGATGTGGTAGCTCATGTTAAATACCACACACCAGATGTGGTAGCTCATGTTAAATACCACACACCAGATGTGGTAGCACATGTTAAATACCATACACTACATGTTAAAGGCAAGTTCTGGTATGTGTGTGTCAAGCTGCTGCAGATTTATTAGTGCATTGCACAATAATGCCAGTTGTATAATTCCATGATCAGTTTGCCAGGTACTAAATCATTATACATACAATGTCATGAAGTGTAAGAGGGACGTACCAACGGTTAAGGAGGCGTATCATATACCGGGGGGCCATAATATGTCCCAACGGAATGAAGAAACTGCACAATTTGAGACTGAATGTGAGAAGGACCTAGGTGTGTATGCTAGGGACTGTCAGTTGGTTAAAAATGTTCAAAGGAGGGCCACCAGACTGGTACCTGCACTTCAACACCTCAACTACCCTGAGATTGGAGCACCTGAACTTGCCTAGCTTATACTACAGATGAGCAAGGGGCGACCTAATTGAGGTGTATAAGCATCTCAAGGGGCACTACTCAGTCGAGTGTCCTTCCGTGAAGCTGGCGGACGCTCGCCCTACAAGGGGTCACAGCTTAAGATTGAAGAAGCCGCAAGTCCAGAAAACTGTGAGGGCAAACTTTTTTGGAGTGAGAGTTGTAAACTCTTGGAACAATCTACCAGAAAGTGTTGTGACAGCACCGAGTGTGAGTTCTTTCAAGACCAGACTTGACCAACACTGGAGCAGGTTCAGGTACATTCAGTGTAACGGGCCGAGTTTTCTCTTTTTAATAATTTACCATATAGATATTATTTTTCTGTTAGTATTCTATTTATTCATATACTTATTTGTTCTGTAGCATTCTTTCCAATGAGTATCCTGTTTTATATACTTATCCTTCTTCAGTTCTTTACATACATACTTACTCTTATATAATATATCTTTGCTTATATTCTTATATGTTCTTTATCTCTATATACCTTATATTCTTCTATATTCTTATATAAGTAGCTCGTATGCTTCTCTGCTTATATTTTCCAAGTCAATGTTCTTTCTTTTCATTTCCTTTCATATATTATGATCTCTTCCATATATTTGGTTCTAGTTATATTCTAAACCATGGATTAACCTGGGAAACCATGTCTTTCTTATTACCACACTTATTATACTTACAACGGTAGAACTGCCACTGTAGTGGAATTCTCCCTACAAACGCTGTTTGTCGCTGCCTAGCCGACCCCACCAATTCCCCAGTGTATGCCTCGTGGTCTAGGTCAACCAGCGCCGCCATACATCACGGAGCGGGGGTCAACTGCTAAGCCACGCCTACCCCCGCTATTTAAGACCTGACCTCGTGGTGATCTGCTCTCTCTCTACCTACAGCCGCAGCCAGCAACACCTCCTCCTCCACCGCTGCCTGGTGGCCCTCGCTCCTCCGCCTGCCTGGCGGTCCTCTCTCCCGCTGGCGAGCATGGCGACCCACAAGCTGTCCTTCTCCGAGCGTCCTCACCAACCAGCTCTCTCTACATCAAGCTTGTAACCATGCTGCCTTCCCAGCACCAAGCTGCATTGTACATCCAATACAACATGTATATAGAGAGCACATTGTGAGTTTCCTTTCTCCAACCCATCCTGAGTGTGAACACCAAACAATCTCATACCCCACAAATGGTGACTCCCGGAGATTCGCACTCACACAGGATGGAGGAGAAACCGATCACTCTCCCAGTCTTCAAGCAACATGGAAGACTGGCTTATCCACCCAGAAGCAGCTCTCATCGGCTCTACAGCTACTGTCTCTACACCGCAGGTCAGACACCCTAGAGCAGCTCTGCTACTCTAAGCAGACAGTTGCTCCTCTTCCGACCCCAGCACACCCGTCCTGCCTCAGACGCCGACCCCGGCCCAGCAGTAACCCCTGCCGCCCCTGACGCGGCCTCTGTTCCTGAGTGCGGACCCACACACCCCTCTTTTCTCCCTCAGGTACTCCCTGCTACTGTCCTGCACCCTGCTGCTGTCGTGGACCCAGCTGCTGTCACGAGCTCTCATCCGCTTCTGCTGACACAGCCCCTGCTCCTGACCCAGGCCCACACACCCCAGCAGGCGCATCTGGCGACTCTGTACCTGCCGTGAGGGAAGCACAACATTCATCGCCTCCACACACACTTATTCTCCCTCTCTACTCCCACAGATATTGTGTATCTAGACAGTTGTATCCAGCGACCGGCTCATCCACGCCATCGCCGTTGTCTCACATGAGGCACGCACCGCCCGTTCTGCCTCACATGTGCTAAGCAACTCTGCAGACAACAAGTCTCCTACACAGCCTGGAGGGAAGGGGGAGTATTGTAGTGGAATTCTCCCCTACAAACGCTGTTTGTCGCTGCCTAGCCGACCCCACCAATTCCCCAGTGTATGCCTCGTGGTCTAGGTCAACCAGCGCCGCCATACATCACGGAGCGGGGGTCAACTGCTAAGCCACGCCTACCCCCGCTATTTAAGACCTGACCTCGTGGTGATCTGCTCTCTCTCTACCTACAGCCGCAGCCAGCAACACCTCCTCCTCCACCGCTGCCT